TGCATTTCTTCTTATTATTAGTGATCTGGAGCAATCTTTCATATAATTATCAAAAACTTAGTCCTCTTTTGAGAACTGTTTATTCCATCTTTTGATCACTTATCCATTTAGAGCTTTTTTAAAATTTTATTTATGTTAATCTTTTATTAGGTATTAGACTCTTATCATAGATATTTGTTACAAATTTTCCCCAAATGATTCTGTCTCTTCTTTTTCTATCCATACTAATTTTGTTCATGCAAAAGTTTTTCAATTTTGTGTAATCAAAATTATCTACTTTAGCTTTGTGATTGTCATTATCCTCTGCAATGATTTTTATAGGAAAGTCTTTTTACCATCAAAGACAGTGAAGTTATCATGTCTGTTTTTCAATATCACAGTCTCAAAAGAGCTTACAAAGGAAGTAGAAATGATAATGAAGAAAATCAGACGGGAAAAGTAGCAGGCAAAGAGACTGAGAAGAAGCCGTCCACCAAAGATAAACAGATGACATCAGTGTGGGAGATGATATTTTGAGAGGTTTGTGAGATTGAGTCTAAAGGTATATAAAGGAGGACAAGATATAAAGGTGGGGGGAAAAAATCTTTCTCTTTATTAATACCACAAAAGGGTGACTGATAGAACATCAATAACTACCAAGCAATATATCTACCTTCCCAGCGACATAAATTTTTATGACAATAAAAGACATCCTTAATTAGAAAGGAACAGGCAGGTTTTCATGTCAATATTCCACTGTAGATTACCTCTTTTCCCTAATATAACTGACTGAAGGATGTAAAGAATGCAAGATCTCACTATGCTTATCGTTTAAATATAAAAGCATTTGATTTGATAAAGCAAAACAATGTTTTAAATTCTCTCTTTTGACAATGTATTTCCAATACATATGCAAAAACGATAAGCCTACTTGAATGATGCAACAACAGAGATGACTTTGTCAAATGATTCTTTGAGCATCAACTGCAAGCATGACATTGACAGGTAGATGTAAACTCACTAATGGTATTTTCCACTGCCATGAAAGTCCAGCATAGAACCCAAGTTGAAGAGGGCTTCCCTATAAATCTTAAGGTCCTCTAAATGCTTTGGTTTGTGGATAACATTGGCAATTGCATCAAGCCCAGGAACATTACAGAATTTCCTAAGTGGATTCATAATCATTCAAAAGAAAAAAAAAGTTTGTTCTTTTGAATGAACCTAACTCAAAAGAATCTAACTATCCACAGTGGAAAAACCAGGAAGAATGCCTATTGTTGAGACTATTGTATGTGGTATACAGACAACACAAAGAGCTCATCCATCAGTATATAGCTGAAATAGATATTACGCAAGGGACAATGAGGTAGGCTCAGATTGAACAGCTGGAAAGAGTAAAAAATTGCTTTGGTGATGTTGTAAATTTAGTTTACTGACTCAATCTTCTTCCCCAAAATAAGGCCTTTTATTTTTTTAAACAATTAAATTCTGAGAAAAATCTGTCTATACTAATTACATCTACTTTTCCACCTCACACTCAGTTTTCAATTCCTTAAAATCTTATTCCTGATACCTCAACTTGACTGAAACTGTATCCTCTCAAATTAAAAACAACAGCCTAACTGTCCATTGCTTTCACCTCAGTTCTTATTCCTCTTCACCTTTTACCAGCTTCTAACACTGTCAACAACCAACTCTGATACTTTGATTTTTGGAATGCTACTCCCTCCTGGTTTCCTTCTGACCTTTGCTGCTAAGAGTCTGGAAGTCTACATGTCTTCACATCAAGGCAGATCCAAATTGGCACTAGAGAATTAGTCCATTACAAACCTACTTTCAAAAATAATTGTGTTCACATTCACATAGTTAGGGTTATTTTAAGGACTCATTGTAAAGGAGTTTTGATTTTTTTAAAGATTTATGTTTGTTCTGAGCTAAGAATTTCCTTAATGAATAATGTACCTTGATAAATAAATAATAAAGTGTCCCTCAACAAATAAATAAATGATGAATAACAGTGTCCATTAAACATCATGTTCTTGTGCCCAAAATAGTGTGTTTATTTGTTGGTGTTCTGCTCATCTGGTCATTGATAGAATTCTGGAATCTAGTTAACTGGCTGATACCACCTGTATGCAAGTCACTTTACCCTCCCAGGGTCTCAAATCCTTTATCTATAAAAGAAGGGGATTGGATTAGATGCCCCTAGGGTCCCTTCTGGCTCTGGAGGTATGAGCTTATAATCCTTAACAGACATGGAGTACTGCAAATTTGTTAAGAGAAAGTCCAAGAGAACGTAGGCTGTCCTTCAGGGGGAGGTTTTCTAGCCATTGTACCACATAAGACGGTTGTAGAGGGAGCAGCTGGCCCTGATCTAGCTAAAAAGCTATGTCTTCCTGAGAGGCAGAGCTCCAGAGAGTCTGCTGCCGAGGCAAAAGCTCCCTCACCAAGTTGAGCGGCCAACCAAAGTAAGCAGAAAATGTCAGACAAAGATAAAGTCTATTCTTCTCAGCTGCCTATGACTGGTGCCATTTCCATTCTGGCACCTGCAAATGGAAAATATTTGCAAAAACTGTTCTACAAACTGTTTTCTCCATTAAGGAGAGAAGAAATCATATACTTGGACCCTGACATCAGAGTTCTTAAGGTGCTTATAGAGGAGGTAAGAATGACATCAAAGAGAACAAAGGCAGGAAAAGTAGCCAGATTGGACCATATAGAGATAGAGGAGATGTGGCTGGTGGTAATACAATTTTGAGGGTATTGAGGGACCAATATACAACGTATCTGAAGGCAGGAGAAGGAACCAAAGGTAAAGGGAAAAATTCTTGGAACTGTGAAAGCACATTGACCAACCCTCCCTGCCCCTCTTTCTCTCTTTAGGCTATATGCTATAAGACAGTACATTAGTTTGATGTCTTTGGTCTAGTCTCAGTGAAAAACCTTTTCTTTAACTTATCAATTCTTCCAAAACAATTTCCTGAACTAAATTCTTTTTACCCTTGCCAAAGACCTTTGAGGAAAATGGGTAAAAGTTCACTAAGGAACACTGACATCCTAGATGATAGAACTAGGGTGGTGACTTAACAAGAGGGCTAGAGGGAGGAAGTTGGTCAATCCACTTAAGAGAAGTATCCTCTTTCCCCCCCAACCCTGACACACACTTTGACTGAATTAGGGGAATGATCAGACTAAGAAAACAAAGTCTTTTATTCAGGTAATGGAAGTATCTCTTGAGCTCTCCTTTGATCAAGTGGAAAAAGCAGAATCCTTGGCATAGTGGTTGAAGAGGGACTCAATGGTTTAGGGAAGTGATTCTTTAGATGTAATCTTCTTTTAAGTTACTATTATTCTGAGATCGTTACCTAAGCGATGAACCCTTGCTCGATCTTGACTGTGGAATTTTATCTATTGTTTAAGAATATGATAAATTGTAATTTTAAAATGGCTTGTGTTAGATTTTCAAAACCAAGCAGACATTCTACCCATTTTTGGACAACCTTTTGTCTTTAAGCAAAAGATGCTTAGAACGATTTCGAGCTAAATTAATTTTTTTAAATGTTTCTAGCACATGTATGCCTAAAACACTGAAGATTTTATCTCTACAGACTATATTGATATTGAAAATAGGTAATGGAGAGAATTTCAGTAACTATCGAATCAATAACTATTGACCTATATGCTACCTCTCTCATCTATACAAAATCTTTAGCAAAGTCATCTATACAAATGTAAAAGATATCCTCAATGAAGGTATCATTAGGAGAAAACAATCAGACTTCCAAAAGCAATGTTCAGCAATGGACCTTAGCTTTACTATCTCACAACTATCTGGAGGATGAAGAGAATATAAGATACTATTGTGCATAGTGTTTGTTGATTGTGAAAAAACTCTAATGAACTGAATTATGAAAAAGTTTGGAATTTATTCTACTAGAGGACAAATATAGCTGATTGATTGTCTCCTGAAGGATAGTAATGATCACTTTGACCACACTTTCCAAATGTCCTAACCTGCTGGGCCAACCTTCCCTTTCTGCTCAGTCACTATGGATCCATCAGCCACCATTCTTTGAGTGCCTCTAGTAGGAAGAACCTCCCTCAAGTTCCTAGTTGCATCAGGAAGAAGGAAAAGTGAAGCATGGGGGAAGATGAGGGGTTGATTCTTAACTCACAATCAGATTCAGGTTTTCCTGGGAGTACTGGAGGAGCATCAAGGCAGTCTTCAGGGCCCGGAGCCGTGCATGAGGCTCATTGGCCATGAGCCAGGGCTCAAAGTGCTACAGGTGGAGCAAGAAAAAACATTCGGCTGAGTGAGAGCCATAGCAGTCTTGAGGGCTTATTTTTCTCATTCCCCAGTCCTTTGCCCCACCCCAAAAGTGCCCATTAAAAATTGTTGACTGAATGTCTGATCATAGAGAGTCCTGTGGGCAAGCTGATTAGATAGATACCACAGGAATATGATACAAGGGGCACCTCCAAGCCTCACCATTCCCTGAATATATTCCCCCTTCCTTTCAACCTGTCATAATATCACCATTCCCTTCTCCCCAGTTTTACATTCCCATTATTATAGTCATTCTCCTTTGTCATATCTAATAAACAAGCCTATCTTCAGTACCCACTGTGTATGTAGCTATGAGCTAGGCATTTGGAGGGATATAAAAATACTATTACCAAAATGCCTGATACCTAGTAAGTGCTTAATAAATGCTAATTGACTATCATTAATAATAATCGATTATTACATGGTAGTACATTATAGTTTATAAAGTGCTTTATCTCCAACTTATGACCTACTATTATCCCTATTTTACAAATGAGAAAACTGAGGTTTAAAGAGATTATGTGACAGAGTAGAATAGTAAAAGAACTGGATTTTTGGAGTCCAGTCTTGTTTCTGTCACTTCCTCTGTGTGTGTGTCCTTTACCATAGGGTTGTTTTGCTTTTCTCACTTACGAAACAAGGAAGTAAATTTCTCAGGGCCCTCCTAATGCTAATATCCCATGATTCTATTAATTGCCCAGCATTATATAGCTAGTAAGGGATACACCCTGGACTCCAGGGAAGACCTTCTGACTCTTAAGTCCAATGTTCTTTTCACGTCCTCTCCCTGTTCCTCACATCACTAGTTTGAAGAGTTGTTAGGAATACAGACTAGCAGGGATGGGAAACCTGCGGCCTTGAGGTTGCATGTGGCCCTCTAGATCCTCAAGTGCAGCTCTTTGACTGAATTCAGGACCTAGAGGGCCACATGTGGCCTTGAAGTCACAGGTTCCCCACTTCTGGTAGGGGGTAGAGGGAGGCCTCAGGCTTTGGAACTCGAAGGGGACCTACACAAGAAGAAAGAAAATGTTCTATTGAGCTCTTTGGGAAGAGAAGTGGGATAGAATCATCCTCGTTTTCAGGGAGTGTATGATCCAGCTGAAGAGAAGAAACTAAATGAATACATGTGAAGGGGAAGTATTAGGTATCTTCGAGCATTTGCTGTATCTTGGAACCCAACACAGTGCCTGGCACATAGTAGATGATTAAGAAATACTCCCTGATTGATTCAGTGGGAATTGAACTAGATAATAATAAGGAAGAGTGATACACATTCATGTGGCCCCGGAAGGAAAATTTAAATTTGATGGCAAGACACCCTGAATACTAATTAGAGCTAGACAAAAGTGGAATGGGCTTCATTCATGGGCTGTACCTCATGAGAGGTCTTTAAATAAAGGTACATTGTGGAGGAGGTTCAAGTTTCAGGTCTGGGTTAGACTAGATGGCTTCTGAGTTCCTTTCCAGCTCTGAAATGACGTGAGGCTATGATGCCGCTAAATGATCTAGGGTAAAGACTTCACATTTGAAGCCATATATTTGGCTATCTAAGTCATCTCAGTGAGGGCTTGGATTGCTATGATGTGCAGGAGAGGGCCTCCAGTTGGCAAGTCCAGCTGCGATCCCGTGGCAACTGGGAGGTCATAAAACTTCAAAAATGAAAAGAACCTCCAAGTCTTTGGATTTGAAAGAGGCCCTAGGGACCATGAAACTATTCTCTCCAAAGTTACCAGTGATGATGTTAGAAGCCAGGCTATAGTAAGAGGCTGAAAGGAGAGGAAATGGAGCCAACCAATATAAACAGGATTTGTTTGTTCATTTGTTTGTTTTTAAGAGTTTAACTGTGAAGGGGAAGAGAGATATTGCACAATAATTTTGACCGGACATTTGACCAGATTTTCCTGCTAGCCTATAAAAGCCCCTAATGCCTACTCAGCCCACTATGTACACAGCCTAAACACATTTTTTTCTGAGCACAATTTATAGCATTCACTTCATGGGAAAACTCAATTTTAGGTCCAACTAGTCTTCAGTGGGGTCACCAAGCCATGACAATGAGACTAGAACTCTGAACTTGTCATCATTGTCAAGGAGGAACATGGAAAGGGGGTGGGGAGGGAGGGTATGTTCACAAGCAATGGAGATCCTGAATTACCCACCCTCATCTTTATAATACTAAAAAGCCAAAGTAAAACTAACAAATTCGATCCATTACCCAAGGATTCTGGATAATGCATTGCCAAGTTTCTGGCTACTTAGAAATATCTGCTTGCAAAGCTGAATTTGGTGTTCATCATCCCCAAGGAGATAAAGCTTGAACACAACCTTCAAATTAACACAATGAGGTCTTGGTGAAGGGGAGGGGGGATATGGAAAGGGGCATCATTGCTGATGCTATACCATCATTCCCATCCCTCACCTGCAGGAGAAATTGGAGTTCTTCCATTGTTTGATGCTCAGAGAGGAAACACTGGAGAAGCTGATCAAGGTTCTCCAAAGTCTTGTCATACAGGTTCTACATGTAGAAGAAAACAAGTCATTTCTGGCATCTCAAGGTCTGGCCTGACAGGGAGACAGTGTGAGATATGAGAACAAGGGCTGGGGGTGGAGATGGAAGGCCCATTCAAGTTCCAATTCTGCAACTTCTTTCCTGTGTGACCTTAAGGAAACTGTTTAACTTCTCTGGGTCTTAGTTTCATCATTTGTAAAAAGGGGGTTAGACTAGAGAGTTTCTTCTAGCTCTGAATCTCTTATCCTATGATCCTATGAACCATTTCAGCTCTGGAGAAGCTTCAAAAATTCTTCAGGGGCAGCTAGGTGGCACAGTGGATAAAATAGCAGCCCTGAAGTCAGGAGGACCTGAGTTCAAATCCAACCTCAGCCCAAACACTTGACACTTACTAGCTGTGTGACCCTGGGCAAGTCACTTAACCCTAATTGCCTTAAAAAAAAAATTCTTCAACTGTAGTCCCCCAAAGCCCTGTCTTAGGCTGTCCCTGGGGGCTGCCAATAGAATGTCTATATTCAATCATAGATTCTTGCAATGTTCTTTCTGCCCTCAAATATCACATAGCACTTGCTAGCTCCCTTATGCACTGACCTTGTAATACTTTTTATCTGTTATTTATAAACTTCTCATAGTCTCCAGGACTCTCACTCCATATTTAAATGTCTTCCAGTATCTAATATAGTGCTATAATATAGGAGGAATTTAATGAATGTCAAATGAATAAATGAGTGACTTATAAAAATCATTCATTAATTTTGAGATACAGCATATTTTATTACAGATGTCCATCTTGCAATCAGGAGAAAAAGAATCTAATTCCTTCTTTAATACTTAATGTATGACTGTAGAAAAGTCAGTTAACTCCTCCAAGCCTCAATTTTCTCATTTATAAAATGAGGGTGATCATACATACTCTTCTTGCCTTGAAAGGTATTTGTGAGGAAAGTGCTTTGTAAACTCTAAGAGGTTACAGAAATGCTCAACTTCCCCTGCAGATACTTCTTAAAGATCTCCAGACAAATGAATCTGGCAGGTTGGCCCTCTCAGTGTCTAATAGCCTTTCCAGTTGAGAAATTCCTTTTAATAATCATAATTCATTGCATCTGCACAGCACTTCATCATTTCCAAAGTGCCTGAACCAGCTTCTCACAGGTAGAAAGTAGCACATTTGAGCCTAAACTTAGGTTTCCTGACCTTTAGTCCTTGTAACACACTGTCTCTCCCCTTGCTCACCAAAGTCCCTCCAGCTGTTGTGATTAGAAACATTGGAATATAGGATTTAAATTCAGAAGGGCTTTATAGGTCATCTTGTTAAATCCCTTCATTTTATATATGATAAAAATTAACGCTCAAGAGAAGCAAGGTGGCTCCCCCAGGTCACACAGGTAAATAGGTGGCAGAACACAGATTCCAACCAAATGTTTCTGACTTCAAACTCCAGTACATCACAGAGGCCTCCAGGCCTCCATACTTAGCCAGGATGTGCCCACTCTACCCCAGGCCCTATTGAGCGCCAGTTTTGGTGTCATCTCCCAATGGGCAAAACTTGCCAGGTGACCTCAGCAGGGAGCAAGGTTGTATCACCTCGACTTCAGGTGGAGTCTCCTGATGAGGAAGACTGTTTGCTAACATCCCTGTGGCTGGAAGCATGAACAGGCTTTCAAAGCAGGTGCTGAGCACATTAGTTTTGACCTTTGTACTGAGACATGGTTGTAGAGAGCTGAGGCAAGAGACACACAAAGAAAATATATTCAATTATAGGATAAAGATATCAAAAAGTAAGATCCCTGCCTCACTGAAGATCTATGAAGACATAGGTATAGGGTTAATGATAAGGCTAGAGACAGGGAATGGGGATGAGGATAGGGATGATGATAAGGACAGGGACCAGTCATGTGATTTCACCAGTATTTTGAACTCCCAGCTGAGAAAATTGCCTCTACCAATGTGTGTGAGTCGTGGAATGGAGAGTTAAAATAAAAAATAACTTAAAATATAAAAATGGGTCATTTTTTAAAATAAATGAAGATGGTGCTTAATATCATTATTAAAGGATCGTGGGCTGTAAGCCAAGGCAATAGGGACCAATAGAGAGTTAATTAAGTAGAAGAGTGACATTGTCAAACCTATGCTTAAGGACAGATAGTAAGTGCTTAATAAATGCATATTTACTGACTGACCATCTAGGTGATGGTTTACATCTAGTTTCTTTTGTGACCCATAGCCAATATTTGTGAGATGGCTGGTAGGATAGGGATAGATTAGAACCAAATCTGACACCAGAGTCAAAGCTCAGTCTAGGGTCAGGGTTTAGGACTTATGTCACTGAAGGTGCTCATTTAGCTTCTGTCCAGTCTGTCACCATGGTTAGGACCAAGCGTATGGCTGAGGTTGTGGGTCTACCTAAGGTCAATCAGTCAATCAACGAGCATTTATTGAGTGCTTACTCCGTGCCAGGCACTATACTAGGGATAGAAAGACAAACAGGGACTGAATAGCCCCTGCCATTAAGGAGATTGTATTCTATTAGAAGAAACAACATACACATATGTAAGTAAGACAAAAATATAAGCAAAATAACCATCGGGATTAAAATCAGGGTGGGTGGCTAAGTTGGGACCTGAGTTAGGGTTTGGTCTGCAATCAGGATTTGAGATAAATCTATAGCTGGGGTTATAGCTCAGTAAGTGGCGAGGGTGGAGGAGTCATTCTGTGGCTAGAGCACAAAATAAAGCTACCTAGCCCAATAAGAACGGAGCCCAACGCTTGGACCTCAATAGTTACATCTCCCCATTCGTGGCCACAGACCTTTATCTGCCCATGCTTAGAAGGGTAGGGGCCTAGCTGAGGTTTCTGGCCTTGAATTTCTATATAAAGGACTAATGTTTGCTAGCCCAAGAGGAATAAATACCTCAATGTGCTGATAACTTGTAGGCTCTTCTGATGAAAATATGTGTCAAAAAATTCTCGAGGTTCCTTCTGAATGCTGATCTGAGAATGACAAAACCAGATGAGTAAGAAGAGCAGTGTCCTGCCAAATACCTTGGCCCATTTTCAAACTGTCTGATTTCTCCTTAGCCATCACCCAGCCAGGGCAGGCCACAGGGACCTCTTGCCTCTGACTCAGGTAGCAAAATCTGCCAAGGCATTTCTAAGCTTGAGAACCAGCAAAGATGGATGCTATGGCATTTTACAATGCAGGACCTAGTACCAAGACCACTTCCAGGTCCTGAGGCACCGTCACACCTGCTTCTCGTTCCATCTGAATCCACCCCGACCTCAATTGTCTGTATTGAGAAGGAGAGGAGTTTTCTGATGGGATGGGCCAACCAAAAAGTAAAAATACCTCAGCTAGCCACTAGCAAAGGTCATCAGTGTCAGAATCTGTCATTTCATCATTGAAAAAGCATTTCCATTAATGAGGATCACAGATACCCCATGACATGAGTAGGTAGTTTCATGAATTTCAGGGACCAAAAAAAAAAAATCCATCCCCTTGTGATTAATCCACTGGTGTTTAGCTTTTCAATACTGACCTTAGCTACTTCATGGAACAACAACATGCACGTACTCCCCAGAGTTGCAGTAAAATGAAGTTGCCAAGTATTTATTAAATGATTACTGTTCCAGGCACTGTGCTAAGTGCTGGGGTTATAAAGGAAGGCAAAAAGTAGTTTCTGTTCTCAAAGATCTCCCATTGTAATAGGGGAGACTAGATGCAAACAATTATTTGAATGCAAGATATATACAGGGTAGATTGGAGGCAATCTCAGAGGGAAGGTATTGATAAGGGGGATGTTGGCGGTAAGGGAGAACACTTGGAAAGGCCTCTTGCAGAAGGTGGGATTTGAGATGAGACTTGAAGGAAGGTGGAAGGCAGTGACAAGGAGGGAGAGAGTTCCAGACACGGGGAGCAGGCAGTGAAAAGTGCTCAGAGTTAAGAGATAGAGCGTCTCGTGTGAGTAATAACAATGAGGCCACAGTCACTGGACTGTGAGATATAAGATAGGAGTAAAGGGTAAGAAAACTGGAAAAGTAGGGCCTGAAAAGTCAAATGGGATTTGATATTTTGTCTGAAAGGTAATAGGATGAGTGACGTGGGCATGGACCTTAGGAGGATCACTGTGGCAAGCTGAATGGAGGACGGAAGAGATAAGGAAGAGCCTCGAGGCAAGGAGGCTAACCAGAAAGCTATTAGAATAGTTCCTTCATAAAGTGACGACCAGCTATATCAGCTTGGCCGCAGCAGTGTCAGAGGAGAGAAGGGGATGCTCATGAGAGGTGCTGTGAAGGTAGAATTGCTAGGGCTTGGCAACAGATTAGACAGGGGGAATGAGCAAGTGAGGAATCGAGGCATGGCTGGGAGGATGGTGGTGCCTTTGACAGTAATAGGAAGGTCTGGGAGAGGAAGGTTTCAGGAAGGGGGAGGCAGGGAGAATATGAAGTTCAGTTTGGGGCATGTTGAGTTTAAGATGTCTATGGAACATCCAGTAAAAGACATCCAAGGCCTAGTGAGACCTTCCAGCGCTCGCCAAGATCACCTTGACATTGAAAGGAGGCACCTGTGAAGGATTATTTATGTCACTTTACATGGAAGTTTTATTACGATTTCAGACTTTTGGTTAAAAATAAACTATTCAAGTGTTCTTTTCTTTCCCCATAACATTCCTGAGTACAGTATGAACTAGATTAAAACATAATTGAGAAATATACAACAAAATAAATAAAAATATATTAAAACATAGATAATATTAATATGTGGTTTTCTAAGTCAACATATGGCCCACGGGGATCCTTATGTACAGTTTGTTGTTGTTGTTCAGTTGTTTTCAGTTGTATCTGACTCTTTGTGACCCTATTTAGGGCTTTCATGTCAAAGATATTGGGGTGGTTTGCCATTTCCTTTTCCAATTCATTTTACAGTTGGGGAAACTGAGGCAAACAAGGTTAAGTGACTTGGCCCAGGGTCAGTAGGGAGTGTCTGAGGCCAGACTTGAACTCAGGAAGAAGAGTCTTCCTGACTCCAAGTCTGGCACTCTATCCACTGAACCTCCAAGCTGCCCAATATGTATAGCTTAGTGATGTCCATTTCTGTTTGAGCTTGACATCACCACCTTACACATATTTAGTGATACATTCCTGCCAAATACTAGGCACTGCCATATTTGCCTCGTTCCTGTTATCTATAATCACTGTACTAGTCCCAGTCTCTTCTCAACTCTTATTCTTACAGTGGAAAGGGATGCTAATCACACCATTTGCACTCTAGCCCTCTTCCTCCAACCAGAACTTGGACTCTGCCCCCCCCCCCCCCCCCGGGACCCTGAGTGTTGATAAGTGAACTTTCACCTTAACTTGCCTGGAAGCAGGACACCATTCCATTTGCAGCCATTTCCCAAGCAACACTGGAAATACCCTTGTTTTAAACCCAGGCCTCTCCCCTTTTGAATTCTGGCTCCCCTTCATCTGTTGTCTTCCCCTGCTAAAATGTAAGCTTCTTGATTCGGGACAAAGGGGAGGGTGGGGGGAGAAGATGTTGCATTGCTTGCTTGAAACTTTATCCCCAGCCCCTAGTACATCGTAAGCACTTAAAGCTTTGACATTCATTCCTTTATCTGGTGTGAGAAAACCTAGATTCAAATCCCAGATCAGCAATTTACTATTAGCTTTATGACCCTGGATCAATCATTTATTCTCTCTGGGCTCCAATTTCCTTATATATGACTTGAGGGAGTTAAACAATAGTCTCAACCCAATTCCCTTCAGCCTAAATTCTATGATATTATGATTCCACATTTCGCTCAGCCCTCACCAGGCCCAATCCATTGCTGTCTACCCTTCCTTCTACTGGCCCTTTTCACTGTGTGAATTCTCTTGCGAAAAATAAAAATTAAAAATATCTCTAAATTTTTAACCTTTTCTTGCCAAAAGGAGATGAATTTAATTTTATCTCCATCAACTTATGAAGATAGTCAACTCAGACAAAGAGGAATAGAAACCTGGATCAGTGGAGAGAGAAGGAACCACACTGATGGAATCCTGGATTCTTAGAAGTCAATATTATGGTATGAATTATTGAGACCTATCGATTTCTTTGATTTCAGTGTTGTGAGCACTCCAGTGCAAATCAGAACCTCTCTAAGTCTGGTCGCCATGAGTAGCTAAAAAAAATTACCTGCTAGATAGCAATTTAATAGTGAAATTAACTCAAAGTGATTTCTCTGTTTGCATATCCCAGAACAATTTTTTTTAACTATATGGATTACTTCTTGATGTTGATAGTTTCAGGCTCACATATGTGGAACATGGAAAATGTTGCCAATAGCCATCAGTTGATTGTCCCATATTAGATAGACTGCTTTGGCTTCCTTTAAGGCCCTTCTGCCAAGGTGTGTGACACTAAAGGCAGCTGATTGGAAACAGAAACATTCAGTCGATCAGCTGGTTGTCAGGTCTACCCTAGTACCCTTCATCAATCTAACTTTTGCACACTGCTCATAGTAAGCAGTTAATAAACATTTGCTCGATTAGAAACTGGAAAGGAATGGAACTTTGACCACATTGACTTCCCTTTGGGTTGTGTAGGGATAGTATGAATCCCCTTTCCTGATCCCCTTTTCCTGATCCAACTCTATACTAGATTCTATGGTAAGGGATAACCATACTCTTCATGGGAAGTCTTGAAACTAGGGCGAGTGCTGATGGACTGCAAGGGCCAGGTAAAGGGGACTCTAAAGTGACTAGATGTCAGGTATGATATTTTCTTTTGAAGGCTGGCAAATATCTGACCAGGTCAGGTTTTGAGATTATCCAATCAAGGTCTAAATTACTGACCAGTCAATCCTCATAAGCACACCCTACTCCCCCAGTGGCCTTTAAAGCCACACCTTGTGTATCACCCTTTGCAAGTCATGAGAATTCATGCTAATTAGTTTCCTAAAAGATATTCCTGCTTCCACTCATCCGCCTCCACACCCTTTCAGATCTGCAATTCTGGTCAAGTAACTTCTCTGCTTCAAAATCCTTAATGACTCTTTAAATCCTAGTAAATATAGTTCAGACTCCTTTGCCAGTAAGCCAAAGCCCTCTGAAATCTAGCACCACTCTACCTTTCCAGTCTTATTTCACATTAACTCCCTAAACATGTCCCACAATCTCTGAACTCCAGGCTTTTGCTCAGATAATTCATTCTTCCTAGAATGTCCCCCTTTCCCTTTTTTTGTCTGTTAAATTACTATCCTTTCATGTTAAACACAAATGCCATCTCCTCCTCTTACTGATTCTCTGTCCTATCTGTATCAACCTTCCTCCTTGGATTGAAATCCAAGCACTTCATTTCACACCTCTCTAATGGTAATTAGGAGCAACATGGCATAATAGATTCAGGGTCATCCTAGGAGCCCAAAAGAAATGGGCTGTGTGGCTAACATATGATAGCTATGTTACCATGTGCAAGTTACTGAATCTAGCTCTAAACTCCTAGTTATTCACTAAATTATAAAGTACACAGGAGCTGCTGAGCTGTATGGATGTAAGGAATTTCCATATCTAGAGCTCCTCATACTTGAATTTATAGCTCCATTCTCATTCCCACCTGTACCTTTCACCCAAATTGCTTTCATGGAATATTACATATTTTGGTTGTCCATCGATGTCTTAAACGCCCACCCCTCCCCAAACTATAAGTTCCATGAGGACCAGAACTAAGCTTTGTATATTGAATTAAACTGAGCAGAATGTAGGTAGTTGTGTTTACATGTATGTGTCCACATATATCGTTGCTTATTCTTTTGCAAGTATACTTGCGCAAGTTTGTATGCTTAATGTTGTTCTGTAGAAAAGGGATACTTCCATACTTCAATGGAATGGCGATGTCAAAGATATGACTATTCTTTCCAACAGTGAATATCATAATCCATTCATATCTTCTTATTCTATATGACTCTTTGCATTTGTCTGTCTCTATTTCTTAAAGAGTATTTTGTGGTTGTATTCACATGCTTCCTGTGCATGTAATGGTAGGTAGACTCCAATATGTGTTATGTAGTCTGTAGTTATTTATAACAGAATTGTTTTAACCTAGTCCAGGTATTTGGAAAAGATAATATATAGAAAGAGTAATGATTCAGGGAATTTATTTTGTACCCTACCTTACTGCTTTGCTACTATGTTTTCAATTTAAATTGAATCTCTAGGGTTCTAGCCACCAAGTTATTCTTAAAAATAGATAATTTCATTTCTTCTTTGTTTATGCCTTCATTACTGAAAAACCCTGTATTCCCTACTTATTTTTTTCTATCCATATCTATTTTTACTGTTGCCTTGTCTGAAATGATGACAGCTACCCCTGCTTTTCAAAATTCTCCAGTGGTATAAGAAATTCTATTCCAGCCTCACATTTTAGTTCTGTTTGAATCTTTATGTTTCAGTCATCTTTTTATAAGCAACATATTGTTGGATTCTTCTTTCTAATCCATTTTGCTATATTTCACTTTTGTGGATAAGTCCCTCACATTCACATTCACAGTTATGATTCTAAATTGGGTATTTCCTGCCATCATATCCTCGAATTCTTTTTCCTTTTATTCCTTTTTCTTATCTATGCTTGTTTTTTCTTCTCAGAACCAAACAGAATAAAACCATATCAAATCTGTATGTTACTTCACTCACTCTGTAATCTTGAAAACAGTGGGATCCTTCTCTCTTTTCCCAATATATTAGACTGTAAACACTTCATCACCATTTAGCTCTTTCCAACAACTCAAACGAATTTACCATTCTAGATCTCTTTCTTACTGTGTTTGCATTTTAAGATTCTAATCAACTTCAGTCTTTTCACTTGAAAGTTCTTTTTTTCTATTAAGGTCTATTTTTTTCTCTTTAGGATTATCCTGTTTTTCAGTCTGTTGTTCTTAGATATAAACCTTTATCTTTTGCCTGTTGGAATAATGTAGTCCAAGTTTTTCTCACTTGTTCAGTAGGTTCTGCATAGTTGTGCATAATCCTGATTGTTGCTCCTTGGTAATGGGACTCTTTCAGGCTCCTGGTAGCATTTTTTTTCTTGACTTGGAAATAGTTAATTTTGGCTATGACACTTTTGGGGCTTTTCAGCTTGAGATTTCTTTCTTTTTTTTTTTTTTTGTGAGGGCAATTAGGGTAAAGTAACTTGCCCAGAGTCAGACAGCTAGTGAGTGTTGTATGTCTGAGGCCGCATTTGAACTCAGGGCCTCCTGACTTCAGGGCTGGTGCTCTATCCACTGGGCCACCTCGCTACCCCTTGAGATTTCTTTGAGGAAGTTACATGTACAATTTTTTGTTTCTATTTTCATTTTGTCCTCTTATTTTAATAGATTTGAGCAGTTTTCTTTTATGATTTATCAAAGTATGCTATCCAGGTTTTTTGTTTGTTCACAGTTTTTAGGGAGTTTAATGATCCTCTAATGATTCATGGTTTATTTTCTCTTGATCTGTTTTCCAGGTCAGCTGGTTTTGATAGTAGATACTTTACATTTTCTATTTTTTCAATCTTTTGACTTTGTTCTATTTTTTCTTGTTGCCTTATGGAGTCATTGAGTTCTCATTTCTCAGTTTTGTTTTCTAAGGACTCCACGATTTGTGCAAGATTTTCCACTTTCTCTTCTAAGGTATTTATTCCCCTTCCATTTTTCTCTCTTTTTTCCTATTTAATTTTTTATCGCTTGCTTCATTTCTTCCATTCACTTTTTTAGTCCCTGTGATAATATCATTTTTTCCTTTGAAATTCTGCTTATATTTGATGTGAAGTAACTTCTTCTGCATTTACTTCTTGGGCTTCTCTTAACCCCTAGTATTTCTTTCTTTACTCTTATTTCTAGTCTCAGGTCTTAGATTGGGGCTTTATGTCAGGTTTCACACCTTCCATTACATTTGGATGGTTTTGCTAAGTGCCATCGAGTTCTGGATGGGATGAGTGGTAGTAGGTCCCACCTTCTGCCTCAATCCCTGGTTTCTATCTCTGACTCCTGAAAGTATAATTGGGAGTGCTGGTCTTGATTGCTCTGTCTTTTTGTTTCATTTCCCTGGCATGATCTTTAATAAGGAATTCATTTCATTTCCGCTCTGGTCTTGAAGATTACATTGGTCTCAAAAGCATATGGGCTCCCAAGTGCAGAGCTGGCCCTCTTGCCAGCTGTGGCTCCCAGTGATCTTATTTACTGATCTATGGGGTCTGACTTTGTCTCTCCAGTTCTGAGAGGCTTGAGTCAGGGTCTGGCTACAGACCTCAATTTTAGGAGCTTGTGTTCCTCCCTTCCCCCATCCCCCTCAACAGAGATTGTCCTCATTCATACTCTCCTGGCTTTAGGCTTGTTCACCAGAGTTTGAACAAGCTTTCCTTGCCTGACCTTCTCTCCCATTCTCATATGTTCCAGGCCTGGTTACTGGCACCTGTACTAGATTCCTTAGCATCCCCCCTTTTTGGAGTTACTCAAGCCCGATGCCCTTGGGCCATCCCTCTCCCAGCCATCACCAGCTTTAGTACTGTACCAGGCTTTAGTACCGTTCAGGACTAAACAGTAGAGCTTCTAGTTTCTCTTCAGGTTTCTTTATAATTGCTCAATCTAGAGCCTTTTTTCCTCACATATTTGCTAGAACATTAAGTGAGAAATCTAGCCTTTTTTTTTTACAATCTTTCACATTATCATCTTAACCAGTTCACCTCATTTTCCAATCACATTTCTTCCTGATGATATCAATTTCTCTGTTCCTTTCATGCAAGTTTTCAATGGCAATGCATTGCAGCCTATTGTGTCCTACGTGATACCCAGCCATATAGCATCAACAAAAGAATAATGGTTTCTAAAAGACATGGTGTTGATTTCGAGGAGGAACCTAACTCCGACCCTAAGCTCACCATTTATAGGGAATCTCTTTTTCTATTTGAATTCTGCCCTGGACATCATTCCCTGGCAGTGGTAAACCTCTCTGGTGAGCATACATCTTGCTGTTTTATGCTTCATTTGACATTAAAAATCTTGAACATATTTCAAGAAATTTAATTATTCTGACTCAAGCTGCTTAAAAACTTCTTACTACCCTCTCTTCCTCTTCCTATCATTCTAACATCACTGAAGAAGTGGAAGGATCCATGCAGAGATGATGGCCATTGTAAATTTTTCACCTTTTCCCAGGTTGTCATAACCAAAAACTTTATCAGCTGATGTCTGCCTTACTGGTAATAAGTCTCTCCCTAGTTAGGCTGGTCCTCAGAAAACAGACACGGCCTGTTGCTAGAACTACCCTGAATCTTTCCCAGAATGGTAGAATCTGCCAGGGCTTAAAATTCCCTGCTATGACCCTTGAGAACACTGGGTCACATCCAAGCCACAATAACGCATTGGGGAATAGAAATGCATAAAGATATAAATGAATAAATGGCTGAACTGAGCTGTAAATTTGTTTATAAGCCCAAAGACTTGCAAGGGATTTTAGGGTTCTTCTAGTCTAACCTCCTGTTGTTTACAGATGAGGAAATAGCTCTAGTGGGTGCACTTGAGTTGACCCAGGGCATACAGGTGGTAAATAGCAGAGTCAAAATTTGAATTCAGATCCTCAAGTTCCATAGCTAATGTTCTTTCACCCATGTGTCACTGTCTCCATTAACATAATTTTACAGATTAAAAAAAAAACCTGAGACTCAAAGAGATTAATCAATGAACTTTCCAACTTTTCATGTGTAACTGATATATTGTGGACCAAGAAAGGCCATGAATTTTCACTTCAGGACCAATTGCATAAGAATAATGCCTCCCTCCCAACACAGACACCTGTGTGCTGGTGAAAGAACGGCCTTCAGTGGTATGAGTAGGTTATCACTCACCAGTACACAGTCGATCAGACTCGGGAGCTGTTTGAATGTGTAGCCCTTCGCTCCATTGTCTCTCTCGAGGACTCTCTTGAGTGCTGTGGAGATCATGGCCGTGGAGCTGAGGAAACTGCTCTTCAGAACTTCGTCCTAATACAAAAAAAAAAGTCAGACCTCGGATGTCCCTACAAATATTGGAATTCTATCAACTGATCATTCAATGACTCTGGGTAAGACTATTAAACAATCATTTCCAAGGGATAATAGCCAGTTCTCTAGAGTAGTGGTCTCCACAGTAGGCACCATGGCAGGAGTCTAAGGTGGGAGTAGAGAATGACTCCAAATTGGTGATCAACCAGTTGGAGCAAGGAAAGATGGGTCAAATCCTATCTCCAACCTCCCATATCTACCTTTTACCCAGTGTGACCTAGTGTTCCTCCACTCAGTCCCCAGTTTCTCCTTCTTCCTCCTCCTCCTCCTAGTCCCACACCCCAACTATACAAGATCTCAGCTTCCCCTCTTTTGTACCAGATGTTGGCCCATGGTTTTATAGACTTAGATTTAGAGCCAGAAGGGACCATACATAATCAATATCAGAGGGATTATGGAAATATAAGCATATTAATTTACTGTTATGGAGCTCTAAATTAGTATAACCATTCTGAAAAGCAATATGGAATTATACAAATAAATAAGCTAAAATATCCATATCCTTTGACAGAGTGATTCCGCTGCTAAGCATACAACCCAAGAAGGCCATGGATAATAAGGAAAACTCCATGGGAAGGACCTTGGAGAGCATTGTCCAAATTTTACAGATGAAAAAAAGGAGGCCCAGAGAGGTTCATTGACTTACCCAGATCACAAAGGCAGTAAGCAGTAGAACTGGCATTCAAACTCTGATTGTAGATTCCATGATGCCCTTTCCATAATGGGTATCATGAGTACCCTGATGCTTTAACCTAAGCTTGACCCAGGCACACACATCAGTAATAAGTAAGAACCCTGACTGCTTTTCCTCAACCCCCCACCCCTTTTCAACTTTGGTGTGACCCCGTGAGTTGCACAGGATGAGCAGGTATGGATGTGTTGCAATATGCATCACAAATCTTATTACATTCTTTCCCTTTTAACCCATCCCACTTCCATACATATGTACCTGAGTGAAGAGTACCACCATCCTTCCAGTTACCTAGTGTCATCCTTGACTCCTCACTTTTATTCGCTCCACTTATCCAAGTAGTTGCCAGATCTTGACATTTCCATCTCCATATCTCTTAAATCTATCCCCTTCTCTCCACTCACATGGCCACCATCCTAGTTCAGGTCCTTATCACCTCCCCTGGAATCTTATAATAGCCTTCTAATTGCTTTCTCTAACTTAAGTCTCTCCTCATTCCAGTTCATCCTCCAGAAACCTGCTAATGTGATTTTCCTTAAGCATATCTGACTATGTCAGTCCTATACTCAAAAACCTCCAGTGACTCCCTATTGATTCTAGGATCAATTATAAACTATTCTCTTGGACTTTCACAACCCTTCACAACCTGATCCCAACCTGCCTTTCCAGCCTTATTATATATCACTCTCCCTTCCTGCATTGGTCTTCCCTCCTACTCCTCCTTTCCTTCATACAAAAATGGAAATTAAGGCATAATTCAAACCACTAAGCAGAACCACGTAAAGGATAAGTAACTGATTTAAATTAGAAACTTTCTGCCATACCAAAATCAGAGGCAATTCATATTTGCTTGTTGTTTTTGCATTGTGGATGATGAATATCATTCTTAAAATAAATCCTATTGAAAAGAAATGTTTACTAGCTATTTTGACCTATTATTTAATTCTTGCATTGCATATAATGAAGGTTTATCTTTTAAAATAAATTTTACCTGCCTAATTAGGGAGCCACATTGATTCAATCAATGCATGTTAATTTCTACCAAATTTGTATTATTTTCAAATCTGCCCCATCCCCAGTCATAGGGTAGATTTTTTAAACAATAGTGAAGCATACCCAATCATATCACTCTTACAAAAATTTTTCATCATTATCAGTCATATTAAAAAGGTTTTATACCAGTAATAAATAAGATTAAGATATTTTAAAATATGGTTAATTTCATTTTATCCTATCCTTTTATACTTATTTTTTTGTGTACAATTCATATAAAAGGAGTACATTATGGGCCAGGGGTTGGGACTTGATCCTCTGATTTCATTGGTAGAGGGAACTCCCAGATGAGAAAACTTCCTCTAGCTGAGCAGATAGACACCTTTTATGCAGTTTACAATCTTAGAGAATCACCTGAGCTCTGAGCGGCTAAATGACTTGCCCTAAATCACACTGGATGATGCCCAGGATGTGTCAGAAGTGAAGTCAACTCTATCCACTATGCTGCATGGTTTCTCATTGTGTTGTTATTTATTAATAAATCAATGTGCTTGTATTAAGGGTACATAACCAAAAAATGTTATGGGGTCTGATAAGGGTGCACAATCAAAATGTTTGAAGGCCAGTGCACAAGACCATGCGAGAATGAAAGCCCACCCCTCAGAAATACTGGAAGAATCCTAGAAAAAGAAAATATGTACCTACATCAAGAGGAAAGTGACATTTGTGGTGATGATGCTCACAGAATCTCAGAGTTCGGAGGAACCCCCAAAGGTTACCCAACCTATACGTAAAAGAAATCTCCTCTACATCATGTCCAACAAGTGGCCGTTCCTCCTCCACTTTTCCTCAACACTCATGTCATGACCAAACCTGTCCATTTTGTTCTCACAGTCCCAGATTTCAGGAATGCCTTCCCCCTCACCTCTCTGCTTATCCAAATCCCACCCATCCTTCAAGGACCAGCTAGAATACCATCTCCTCCATGAATAACAATATCAGTAAGTCACATTTCTATAATACTCTAAGCTTTTCAAAAAGCTTTCCTAACAATCTGAAGGGATAAGTGATGAGGGCATTATTATTCCTCCAATTTTAGAGATGAGGAAACTGAGGCACAGAGAGGTGAAGTCACTAGGCTAAGGTTACAGAGCTAGTAACCTTCACAACTGAGACTTAAACCCTGGTCTTCTAACTCCAAGTCCATGTACCAGGTTGCACGACCAGGTTCACCCATCCTGGAACAACAGAATGACTGATCACTGCCTTCTCTGAATTCTTGCAGCACTTACTGCCTGTACTGTTTATGCTGACACTGAGTCCTATACAGTAGTGGATTATTTTGTGTTTCATTCTTCAATGCCTCATCTCTTCATGTAGATGTGAAAGCCCCTAGGGTAGGGACAATGGGTTTCCCCAAGGCCTAAGAATACAAGGCTGAATATACATGTATATACACATATACAATATTATATATGATAATATATTATATATGTATAAGTATGATATCCATGCACATATATATGTATGTGTATATGTGTATACCTTTAAGGGCTCTAAATTTAAGAAAGCTCCATAGAAAGCTCTGCCAACTGAGTCTCTTTCTCTCTAAGAGGCAACTATGGCACCATTGAAAGATCATTGGTCTTGGAGTCAGAAGTCCTGGACTGGGGCAGCTATACAGCACAGTGAATATAGTACCTGTTCTGGAGTCTGGAAGACCTGAGTTCAAATCTCAGACACTTACCAGCTGTATGACCCTGGGCAAGTCACTTCACCGTGCTTGCCTCAGTTTCCTCATCTGTAAAAAGAGCTGGAGAAGGAAATGGCAAAACCACTCCAGTGTCTTTGTCAAGAAAATCCCAAATGGGGTCACAAAGAGTCAGACATGACTGAGACAACTGAACAACGGCAACAATCTGACAGTCAGTAGCTGGGTGAACATGAGCAAGTCAGTGCACCTCTCAGAACCTCATGATTTCCATTTTGATCATTGCAGTCCTTGTCACACAGTTGTCAATAATAATAATAATAATGCTAGCAATACTTTAATAATTGATTATGGAAGCCATTATTAATACTAAGTCACAGATCTTCACTACTGGTATCAAGCCCCGACAGAGTTGGCTAAGAGGGTTGCTATTCATAAGGGGCTAGGTGGGGATGGGAAGGGAAGAGATACTGGAGTGTTTTCAGGCCCCAAGAAGAAGGCAGAGGACCCTACGTATTTGCAGCATTTGAAGTAGTGCACCATTCTGGAGATGATTCTGTCCACCCATGGGAGGATGCTGTTCTTGGCATGAACCGCCATCTGCCCGTAGCATAGCAGGGCTGTACTGCTTGCCCACTTCCAAGAAATGTCATGGATGCTCTGTCAGGGAAGGGGAAGACAAACAACTATCAAGTAGCAGGAGTGTCTGACTGGGGATCAGGACACCTGGGCTCTTAATCCCAGCTCTGCCATTGAACCACCACATGGCTGTGGGCAAGTCACAGAACCACAAAATATTAGAGCTAGAAGGGACTCAAAGTTCCCTGTACCTCAATTCCTGAACTACTCATGTTCACTCTTCTTCTATCCCACCCCCTTTTCTGAATAAGAAGAAACTAAAGGCCAGCAAGGGAAGTGACTTGATCAGGGTCACACAGTGAGTCAGGATTTGAACCCTGACCTTCTGATTCCAAATCCAGTGTACTTTCTACCAAACTATAATTCACTGAGTCTGAATTTTCTCCTCTGAAGAATGTGGATAATAATTCTTATTCCATCTGCCTCATAGAATAGTTTGAGGATCAAACGAGATCATGGATTTTTTTCACGGACTCATAGATCTTCCCTGATTATTCCATTGAGCTTGCCATGAAACTGGGTATATGATGCAGATGAGTTAAAGACCTGAAGACTTATAAAGTCGTATGGGGATTTTGAGCCAGAGAGTGAGGAGGGGGTGGGGGGAGAGTGTCAGATGTGTAGCTTATCACAGCTCTGCTTCTCCTTTGCCCCAACACAAAACCCAACAATGGCTCCCTATTACCTATAAAGCAAAGCCCAAACTCCTCAGTCTGCCATTCAACACCTCAGATGATCTAGCCCTAGCTAACCTATTTACTTTTCATCTCTGCTGCTCTCTATTTACCAGGGATTTTCAACCTTTATGGATCCCTTTGGCGGTTTCGTGAAACCTGTGAACCTCTTCTCAGAACAATGTTGTTAAAAGCATAAAATACATTGATTATGAAGGAAGCTGAAGGCTAATGAAAATTCTTTGTATTGTGAGAAATGATTATTTATATTAATAGCCAATTATTAAAACTGGGGAGGCCCAAGCTTGTTTTCCCTGTCCTATTTCCTTGTCCAATCTCTCAAGGACAAGGCTGCTGGAAGATAGGATTAACATTTTCCTCCTTATGGATATTGCTGAATCTAGATCAGACTTCTAATCTAAGGTGAAACTGCCTTCTGTTCAGGCTTGGGTGGGGGATAAATTCTTTGAACAGATTGCCCAAGGCTGGGAGTAACTTAGAAGTAAATGACATAATCAAAGTTCATTAAAATAGGTCCAACCGCACATTGTAATATTCATTCTCTCATTAATTGTTAACCAATCAGAGTTGATAGTCTCAGGAACACCCCTCTTCCAAGGTCATATAAGCCTTGAGGGCTATTTCAAATGCTACCATTATTAATAAAACAATTCATTTACCCAGAAATTATGTCTTTCAAATTTTTCAAAACTCATAGTATATTATAACAAAATTTATACGAGACACAAAGGTGCCTTTCTTCTTACAGCTTACATTCTAGGAGGGGAAATGATTTTTAAAAACCCAGAAAACTTCAATAAAAATAATACATTGTAAGTTCATTATAAAAAGGGAAACTAAGTGTTATGTGAGGTTGAGGAATAAAAGTCTTTGCCTATAGCTTTGAAATTCTTTCCCCTTCCTTCCTTGGTCCACCTTTTTGATTCCTCCCAATCCTTTAAGACTCATCTCAGGTCTTGTCTTTCCTGATTTATCCCAGATATGTCCCTTACTACACTGTAAATTCTATGAGGGCTGGGTCAGGTCTGATGTTTCTCTGAGTTGTGACAGCCCCAAGCACAGTGTAGATACTCAGTAAATGCTTATTGTGTTGTACCAAACTGACTTGAATTCGTATTTTGAAAAGCATAAAGCATTTTACAAAAGAGCAGCATTCAAATCCTTGCCATCTGTCAAAGCCTAGCTGACATGAAAACTCCTCCAGGAGTCTTTTACCAATTATTCCAGCATTTGAGCTAGATTGTGAACTTCTTGAAGGCATAGACATGGAGCAAATATTAGGCACTCAATATCTCAACACTTCAAAGAGTTCATCTGAGTGGGCACTTCTACTGATATGGATTGTGACCCTTCTACAGCACATTTAAAGTCCACTTGCATTTCTGGGGCTGAAAGAATTCATCCTTTAGAATTTATCTTCTCTCTCTCTCTCCCCCTCTTTCTCTCTCTCTCTCCTCTCTCTCTTTACTCTATCTCTATCTCTTTGTCTTTGTCTCTGTCTGGCTCTCTATCCCCCCCACCTCTTCTCTCCCTCTTCTCTATCTCTCTCTTCCCCCTCCTCTCCCCACTTCTTTGTCTATCTCTGTCTCTCTCCTCCCTCACCCCCCTGCACTCTCCTCTTTGTCCCTGTCTCTGTCTCTCTCATTAAAGAGAGCAATTGCTCTGTCTTTAATAATGGCAGTATTAGGAAAATCTCAAAAGGAACGATGCCATTCACTGTTGTCTTGATATGGCTACACATGTTCAATGCAATGAAGGAACTTTTTTTAAGCACTTACTCTGTACAAGGAATCAGGTAGGGTTGCCCAATAGCTAAAGGGTGGGCCTCTTGGTCCATTTCACTCCACTTAGGTAGCTAGGCTACATGGTAAACACAAACTTTTGATGAGACTGTGCTCAAAACTTTCTAAGTCTTCTCATTCCTCAAGTTACTTTGCATTTATGTGTCTATAAACATGTTGCATCCCCCAAGTAGAATATAAGCTCCTTGAGGGTAAATGTTGTTTCATTGTTGTCTTAGTATCCCTGGTGCGTAGCACAGAGCTCCATGTGGAACAGTTGCTTAATAACAGCGTTGAATTGAATTGAATTGGTACAACTGTCAGAGCTTATAGTCTTCTGGCATGACCTTCTCAAACCTAGGGTCAGACTCTATGCCAAGGTGAGGCACTGAAGGAGGACTTAGGTAGAGTAGGCACTCAATAAATACTTATTTAACTGTTACAAATCCGTAATCTCTCGTTTTCTTTGGAACTTTAGGACTTTTCAAAGACTTCACATTCGTCATCTCACATGATTTTCACAGTATCCATTAGATCAACAGAAGGGGCAAGAATTATCACTCTTGTTTTTTGATGAGCAAACTGAGGCTCAGAGAGGTAACTTTATAAATATCACATAGAAAATTCCTGACAGATCCCAGAAAAATAACTTAAATCAGTTATCACCCAGCATTCTACCATCCCACAAAATTGCCTTTAGGATCTCTTCCACTTTCCCCTGCCCTACTATCTCTTTAATGTATCCCTTACTCTACTAGGGAATATTGGGAGAAACAAACTAGGCCAACCCCAGCTCCCAGAGTGCTGACTGCAGCTAACAGTACCTTGGGGCTAGCAGAACATAGACCAAGCTTCAGTATTCTTTTTTGGCCAAATTGCTCCAATACAGCCCAGGTTTCTTCTAGGTGGCTAGAGGATGCCAGGCCAACTGCTAGTGCTATGCCCTGTGAAAGATAAAAATATAGATTAGTTTTAGGACCCTGTCTTCTCCCACTCTCCATCCTCAGAATTCCCCAGAAATTCTTCACTATGCTCTCTGTAATAATAAGTGTAACGCCTTCACCTATATATCACTAGGTCTGGCGGGCTTCTTAGAGGAAGTCTTCTGAAGCTACATGCTGCTGAGTGAAAGGAAATATGACTCCTGATTATCTGGGATAATTTTGATTGTGGCACTACACATAGACATAAAGGAGAATATTTGGAAACTTCAGACAAGTAGTTGGGAGACAAACGAGTCATGAGAATGAAAATGAATTTGCAGCCCAGAGATCAGCCCTCAAAGCAGTCAAGTTCCCTGACTTGTTGCTAAATTTTAGCACTTGAAACCCTAGAAATTGCTGACTATAGATGTCTTCTCCGTGAGATCATTCCTCACCCTTGGTTCAGTTGGGGTGTTTTCTCCCTCTCTCAGCTGAAGAGTTCCTTTATTACTGTGTATTTTTTGGTCGGATCTAATCTGTACAACTTCCCCACCATCTGTTTATTGTTTTGATTGGATGAATGGGCTCACTCACAATTCATGTTGGTCTTTTAACCCAGTGTTTTTGGTGAGAGGGAGCTAAGCTGGTAATATATTCCATTATTCTCCTCTTAAGAGCAATCAAGGATATGCCTTTTATGCTGGACCTATTATACCCTTAGGCTTACAGATATTTGAGGAAGAGATAGGCAAGAAAAGGAACAAAACCCAAGCCACAGCCTCTTTCTGCTCCCTACAAAGACAGAAATCACAGGTTCCCTTGGCGTGGGGTAGGCCAGATCCCAGATCACATACATATATATGTGTGTGTGTGTGTGTGTGTGTGTGTGTGTGTGTGTGTATGTATGCATGTATGTATATATGTATGTATGTATGTAGTAAGGAATGTATATATCAATGCCACATGTCAACCAAGACATCTTTTTTGTATTTAGACATCAATCACATATATACTTTATAGAAGAATAATAATGATAAGAACTCATATTTATATAATACTTTAAGGTTTTACAAAACATTTTCCCTCAGAACACTGTGAGAAAGGGAATGCAAATATTATCCCCTTTTTAGATTCAGAGAGGTTAAAGGACTAGCTAGCCTATAGCCACATAATTAATGAATGTTGGAGCTAGGATTCAGACTTAGAAGGCCATGTAGTATAGTGAAAAGAATTGTGGACCTAGCTAAAGTTCAAGGAATTCCAGGTTTAAATTCTGTCTCAGGAATTTGATAACTATGTAAGCATGGGAAAACCAATCAATCTCTAGAGTCACTTAATCTTATTTGTCTATAAAATAAGGGTGATGATAATATTTTACCTACTATAAGGTTCAAATGATACAAGATATATCAGTTATTGTTGATTACAATGTCAGTTATTATTGTTGTTATTCCCATATGACCTGTCTCCAAGTCCAACACTTTCTAACATACAGCCCTTCAGAGATGCTAATAATAATAATTCCCACTCTGAAGTGTAGTTCTCACAATAAACCTATGAGGAAGGCAGTACAAATTTTATATCCATTTTAGAGATGAGGAAATTGAGTCTCACTCAGAGAGATGTAGTGACTTGCCCCAGGTCACACAGATAATAAGTGACAGCCTTGGGGATGATCTCAGGTCAAGATTCTTTCTCCTTTGTGTGCTACCTCCAAACCCAGACACACCCTAGGCATTCAACACCAGGTTTAAACATGATCATTCCTTAAATGGTACTGTTTATGGGTGACTCTAATTTGTCGTAAAATAAGGACCACAAAGGGGAGAATATTCTGAAATTAAAAGAATGTGTATTTATTTTTTTGAATTGACACCTTTTGTTTTTTATAACATTTTTTAAAATTATGTCCCTTCCCTCTCCCTTCCCCAGTAAGCTTTTCCTTGTAATAAGGGTCCAGGGAGAGACAGTTCTAAAAAACCAACCACTGCATCTACCTCATCTGTGTATGTAACATTTCTTACCCATCATCTAGCACCTCTGCATTGAGCAGACAAAGGTGTGGACATTTATTTTCTTAAAATCATATTCTGAAGCATGCCTTGTTGCCCTCTGTCTGTTGCCCCCTCAGCAGCTGCCTCCTTTATCTCCTCTTTTCCCACCTCTGATCTCAGGAGCTGCTGTCACTCACCTCTCGTTGGAAGGCTGTCTGGTGAGACAGCTCTAGGAGAGCAAACAAGTGTTTCTTCACTTTTATGTTCTCCAAGGATTCTCTGAGGACCAATCCGTAACAGTAAAAGAGAAATTTCTGGACATTCAGGAAAGGGAAAAAGAAAAGAAAGAAGATTCTGTTAGCCAAGTTGTGGGACAATGAGCAACCCCATTCGGATCCCGCCCTTTATGAAGGGGAGGATGGCAAAAGGCTCAAAGTAGACAAAATTGGACAAGAGCACTGGCCCCTTCAATCTCCCTTCATTATATTTCCCTACACACCCCATCCTACCCCTATGTCTCATCCCTGTGGAGCCCATAGGAAAGACAGGGAAACCAGATGTTGGCAGAGGGGAGGAAAGACAACATTCTAGGCAAGGGGAACAACAGTCAGTGAAAAGGCAAAGAGTCAGGAGACTGGTAGGCCCGTGGGAACAATAGAAAGAAAGGCCAATGTAGCAGAAGGGAATAAAGTATAGGAAGACTAGAAAGATGGCAAGGGTCCAGGATGTGAAGGGCTTTAAAAGCCAAATATAAGATGTTATATTTGATTTTATATGTTGATAGGGAGTGATTTGACTTCATTGAGTAGGAGGTAGGGTGACATGGTCAGATCTGTGCTTTAGGAAGATCATTTTGTCAGCTGAGTGGAGGATGGGCTTGAGTGTGGAAACCCTGGAGACTGGAAAACCAATCCCATGGCTCTTGTAGTGGTCCAAGTGTGAGGTGATGAAGATTTGTGTATGCTGGTGGTGGTAATGAGAGTGAAGAGAAAAGGCTTTACAAGAGATGTTGTGAGGTGACAAATGACAAGACCTGACAATAGATGTGGGGTTAGTTTGCATGAGGAGTTGAGGATGACATGTAGGTTGTATCATGAATGGAAAGAAAATGGTGTCTTTGACAGAAATGGGGAAGCTGAGAAGAAAAGAAAATTGTCTTTACCTTCATCCCATTCTCATTTTTTGGAGTTGATAACACATTGCAGTGGGTCAGTTTGCAGATGGTACAATTGCTTATTTTTTCATCTTTATCCTTATAATTTTGTGCTGTAGACATTTGATTTTGAAATAACTCAAGCATCGGAAGCCATTGGCTTTCTGTCATTTTCTTTTTGTACCTTTTTGGATTCTCACCTTGGCAGCACTTTCTGGTTCTCTTTTTAGCTCTCTACAATACATCTCACATACATAACCTTTTCTTTACTCAAATGACCTCCACCTGAATGAAAGTCATTATCACTTCTTCCTCAGACTGCTACAGAGGCCTCCTCATTGGTCTCCCTGCCTCATGTTTCTCTTCTCTCTGATGCATTCACATAACTGTGAACATAATAGTCCTAAGTAGAGGTCTAAATATGAGCCTTCCTTGTCACTCCTCTTTCTTCATACTTGGACACTATGACTCAGCTGCCATCTTTCCCTGGAACTTCTTTCCTCATCCTGGAACATTCTTCTACCATGCCAGTTCCTTCCCGTCATTGATGAGTTCTTTCTGGGGCCTCCATTTTGGGGATAGGTTCAGGCCTATTCATTTCTCTCCCAGTGCACTTCAGACTTTGCAATCATGCCTCTACACAAATATCTTCTCTCTCTCCCTCTCCTGCCCATCCTGCACTTTTCAACTCTCTTTTATGTGCTGTCTTCCCGCATTTGAATGTAACCTCCTGGAGGGCAGGAATTGTCTTTATTTTTGTTCATGTTTACCATATATCCTGAGCACAGAGACTGGTACATGTTAAACACTTAATAAATGATTCTTGTCTTCTTGCTTTGCCTTGCCTTGCCTTGCTCAAAAACTCTAATCTATAGGCTTCTCTGTTTGATCTTTAAAACCCTTTATGGCCTGCTCCCACCTTTCCAGGCACAGCATACACTGTGCCCCTTCAGGTCCCTTATGACCGAGCTACACTGGCCTCCAGTTATTTCTCATATATACCATTCCACCGCTTTCTCTTTGCCTTTGCACCTGTTACCTAAAATGCATTCTTTCCTCACCTATGCCTCTTCAAATCCCTAGTTTCCTTCATAGTTCAGTTCAAATTTCTTCTCCTACATGAAACCATTCCTGATCCTCCCAGTTGCTGGAGTCTCCACCCTCCCCCAAATTACTTTGCATTGTTTTCCTTACAGAATTTAAACTAATAAAGGACAAAGACTGTTTAATTTTTGTTTTTGTATCCCCAACCTCAAGCATAGTCACTAGAATATAATAGGCACTTAATTTATTAATTGATTTTCAAGAAATTATTCAAGATATAGAGGTGTGAGACCTCTGATTAATCTATCAGCCTTTTGTCTCTTTCATTTATTAATTCCAAGCCATATTTCTAACCTATTTGTCACTGTCCTATACCTATATTCACAATTTAGTCACTTGAGAGTATGTTGACTCGGTTTGGAAAGTTTTATTTGTCTCTGGGACTACACTCAAAGACTTTCCAGCTTTTTGCAATTTGATAGAGCCTGTGTACTCTGCTAACATAGCTTTCAAGGACCCAGGGTCACCTCCATGCTACAAAAAAGCATCAGAGGGTCAAACTTAGAGTGGTAATTTAAATGTAAGTTGTTATTTTAATTCAGAAGGAGACTATGCTCCCATATCTGCTATGCAAGCCATAAGAGACTCTAATGGCAGAACTTGTAGTCCAGGGATAAAGGAGGTAAGGATAGTGACATGGTAGGCCAGAGGGATCTATTTAGGGAAGCAGGTTATATTATTTAACCGTGGCAGCAATATATTCCACCTGCAATCAAGGTTGAACCATTGTAAAATGATAATCTTGTCAAAAGTTGTCTCTCTGGATGTCCCAAGTAGAATATAACTTCCTTCTACAGCTAGAACATCATCTTTTCCCTCTCCTTTGGTACCCTTCAACCCTATTCAGGCACTCTATTTCTGATTTTGCAACTAAGCCTTCTCTCAGGAAATGCTCCATCCTTACTTATTGACTCTTTAGGGTGACTGTCCCTCTTCAGTCTCTCCCAGGATCCTTGGCATTTTGAATTTCACCTTTCATGTGGATGTCCCAATGACATCTTAAACTCATCATGTCCAAAAACATAATTCATCACCTTCTCTCTCTATAGCTTTTCCTTTCTCCAATTTCCCTATTTCTATTAATGATTCCATTATCCTTCCAGTCATCTAGGCTCAAAACCTCGTAGTAATCCCTTTCTGTCTCACCCCACATCCAATTGTGTCCTATCAATTTTCTACTTCTAGAATATCTCCAGGATTTGCCCCTTGATCTCTATACACACTGCTTCCACTCTAGCTCAAACCTTCATTCCCTCTCAGTCAGATTCTTATAATAACTGCCTAAATGGCCTTTCTTTCTCTAGTCTTTGCACTCTCTGGTACAGCCTTCCTATAGGTACAAAAACATTCTTCCAAAACACAAGTATGACTATGTCATTTCCCTGCTCAAAATGCTTCCTTGACTCCTTATTATGTATAAGATAAACTATGAATTCCTTACACCCTCCAGAGTTTACCCTCAGTCAACACTTCCAGCTTTAGTTGACATTACTTTCTTTCATTCTCACTACTTTTTAGCTGAATAGTATTACTAGCTCCCAGTTTATGTCCTGCTCACTCTTACCCCCTTATGTTCACATAGGCCATTTTTTATGTCTGAAATACACTCCTTTCTCACTTCCTTGTTGATACACTTCCTTTCTTGCAAAAACAATGCATGTAGGGCCCTCCTTCATGAGGCTGTCAATGATTATGCTGGCTGAAAATGATTTCCCCTCTTAGCTTAATTTATCCATGTTGCTCTTTGGTCCCTGTCATATTTTACCTTGTGTCAAACTTATTTGCATACATGTTGTATGTTGCCCTAATAGAGGGGAAAATGTACTGTTATTTTTAAAAATCTTCCCATCCCCAACACTAAGCATGGTGCATTGCACTTAATAAATAGGTTCTTCATATTTATTTGTTGAATTGAATTGAGTTACAATAATCAATCACCAAACACTTCTTGAGTAACCATTTTATGTCAAGCACTGTATAGAGTGGGGGTGGAGGTAGAACAAGTACAAAATTAAGACAGTGCCAGTGCCCAGAGGAGCTTATATTTTATCAAGTGAGACAACACATAAATAAGTACATGTAAAATATATGTAAAACAAATACAAAATAATGGTTTTGGGGGATGGCACTAGCAACTAGGTCATAAAATAAGTCTTCAGATAAAAGGTAACCTTTCAGCAAAAGTTTTTTTTTCCTTTAGCATTAGTGCTTTTTTGCTTCTCTTTTAGATTATCCTTTATGTCTGTGTATTTGCATTTTCATTCAATTATTTTCTCTTGTTTCTTTGGCAAGACTTGCCACTGTGGATTCAGATTTTTCTACTCTGCTAATTTCTGCTCTGCAGGACAAAAATTCTGTTTCCACAATTTTTATCTCTCTTTAAGCCACTCAGGGACATCCTGTTATGGTTCCATCCCCTTTTGGGAATCCACAGGGTCCTCTACCTCATCATATATTGATTCATTTTTCTTTGTCTGGCAATATTTATTCATAGACATCTGGGACTAACTGAACAGACCTGGAGGTTATATTACCTTGTGTTATTAATATCTTTCCTGGTGGATCTGTTTATGTTCAAGGTCTTGAATGAATTTGCTTGCTCCTGAGATATTTCCTTGGTAAATTTGGTTTCTTTCCCTTGTATCCCCCTATTACTCACTTTCTGAGTCCTTCCCTTTCATTGTGGTTTCCCTGGAGGATGGACTTCAAAGCTGCCTCAGCCTTCTCCCATGCTGGGTAATTCACAATTCACTGGTTTGTCTCTGCTCCAAGTTCCCAAGTGGGATAAAACCGATGCCTAATAGATGCTAGCCCTCTTTTCCTTAGGCTTAGTGGAGTGTTATATGCTCACAGTAATGCCCTGGTTTTCTCCCTCAGTTTTTTAGATGAGCTCATTTGCACCACAGAGCATCATTGTACTGCAGGCCCACACAGAACAAGTTTCTGTCTTCTGATTTGGGGGCAGGGGGTAGGGTTAGGAGAGGGGAGGAATGTGAGCAACATTAAGTTGTATTGCAAACCTGCAAGCCTTTGTCTCAACTTGTTCAGGGAATTAGCCTTCTCTGCTGTTAGATGATTGGGTTGTTACCTCCTTAGGGTTCTTGATGTCATAGCCTTGGAGACATCAAATATTGCATTATCTCTTGCACATAGTTCCTATTTTGGAGAGGTTTGGGAGGCTGTGAAGATTGAAGAAAGTGCCTAATTCTCCATCTTGTTTGATCACATGACCCAGAGTTGAGCAGAGCATTGAAGAAAGCAAAGGATTCTAAGAAGTAGAAGTAGTGGGCAGCTAAGTGGTGCAGTGGATAGAACACTGGCCCTGGACTTAGGAGGACCTGAGTTCAAATCCAGCCTCAGACTCATAACGCTGACCAGCTGTGACTTTGGGCAAGTCACTTAACCCTAACTGCCTCACCAAAAAAAAAAAAAAAAAGAAGAAGAAGAAGAAAAAGTAGAAGTGACAAAGAAATACATTCCAGGCCTTGAGGACAACCATTGCAAAGGTACAGAGACAAAAGATGGAGTGTGGAGTATGAGGAACAGCAAGCAGGCAGTTGGGTGAAGCCATAAGATGCAAGAAGGTAAATAATATATAGTAAGACTGAAAATCCAGGCTAAGAAGGGTTTTAAAAGCCAAACAGTTTATCCCAATGGCAATAGGGAGAATGTGTAGAAAGAAAAGATAAAGATGGCCTAGGATAGAGCCTTGGGGAACACCCAGGCAGGGGACATGATATGAAAGATAAGCCAGCAAAGGAGACTGACAAGCAGCCAGACAGGTTGAAGATCCAAGGGAAGTTAGTTCCAGGATGACCTAGAGAAGAAAGAAGTAAAGATATAATTTCAGAGAGACCTGGAAAACTTTTATAAACTGATGCAGAGTGAAATAAGCAGAACCAGAACAATTTATACTATAACATCAATATTGTAAAAATGAATAATGCTGAAAGACTGAAGAATTTTGCTGTCCCAAATAATCAACTATGATTCTAGAGGACTGATGGAGAGAACATGGTCTACTTCATGACAGAGAGAGAATGGTCTAATATGTAGAATAAATGCATTTTTGGATGTGGCAAATGTGGACATTTGTTTTGCTTGGTAATGCTTATATGATTCAAGTTTTCTTTCTTCCTTCTTTCTTTTCTTTCTTTCTTTTTTTCTTCCTTTTCTCTTTATTTCCCTCTCTCTCTCTCTCTTCCTTCCTTCCTTCCTTTCTTTTCTTTTTTCTTGTGAATGAGGAGAGGTGAGAGGGAGAAAAAAAGAAATGTATGAAAAGGAGAGAAAAAGCAAGAATGCTCAACAGTGACAAATGCTGCAGATAGTTTGAAAAAGATAAGGACTGAGAAACTTAGGGTGGGGAACCTGCAGTTTTGAGGTCACACATGGCCCTCCAGGTCCTCAAGTGCAGCCCTGTGGCTGAATCCAAATTTCACAGAACAAATCCCCTTGATAAAAGCATTTGTTCTGTAAAACTTGGACTCAGTCAAAAGTCCGTACCCAAGGACCTAAAAGGCCATATGTGGCCTTGAGGCCACAGGATGTCCACCCCTGGGCCAGACTCAGCAATTAAGAGGTCACTGGTAATTACTCAATTATGCAGGGCTCTAGATACACATAGTGCTTTCCTCTCAACAATCCTGTGAGGTAGGAAGTGTATATATTATTATCCCCATTTAAAATCTCAGGAAACTGAGGCTCAGAGAAGTTAATTTGACTTGCCCCAAATTGACAGCCAAAAAGTCATAAACTCAGTCAGGCCTTCTGACTATAAGATAATGTTGTCTGTCTTCCAATCTATGTGCTTCTGTTCCTCTGATTTTGCCTGTCTTGGTTGCCTTTTCTTCTCCCCTCTGTCTATCTAAATCCGACTAACCTCCATGGCCCCCAGTTTCACTTTCCCCAAGAAGCTTTCCTAGTCTGCAACTGCCCTTGATGACCTTCTGTCTCTATCATTTCTACAACACTTACAATCCATGCCACATCATGGACTATTTCATTATGTCCTACCTTTTATTGTTCTCTCCTTGTTTTTCTGTGTGTGTTTTGTCTCCCTAGATAAACTGGTAGTTTCCTGAGGGTAGGACTCAGGCCTTCTTGTTCTCCGTGCTCTCTCCCTAAGCTCCTTTGCCTTCCAGTCCCTCCATTCCCTAACATAGGGCCAGGGCCAGGCACACAGGAAGCTCTCCACGTTTGATGGTTGATTAGGCCTCCAGCCTTACCGCTTACCTTGTCCAGGGAATTCGTAGATTCTGTCATTGTGGAAATGAGATCCTGGAGATAGGTGTCAAAAACTCCTAATGAGATGAACTCAGATTCTACCTGTGGGCCAAGCACATGCCTAATAATAACAATAACAACTAACATTTATATAGCACTAGTACTATGTGGCACTTACAAAATGTTTTACGTATGTTATCTCATTTGAAACTCACAATAACCCTGAGAGGTAGGTGCTATTATTACCCCAGTTTTACATATGAGGGAAAAGAGGCTGAGATGGGTTAACTGACTTGCCCAGAGTCACACTAGTAAGTGTTTGAAATAGGATTTGAAGTCAAGGCGTCAAGACCAGTGATCTATACACTACTCTATCTACTCAGGTGCCTACTAAGCAAGTGCTATACAGCCTTAGCCTATCACTAGGAATCTCTGGGAGACTATGCAAAGTCAAGCTGCCTGTTTCAAGTTTTCTAATTCTCTACTAAAGCGCCTACTTTGTTTGCTACTTTGTCTAGCCATTTTCAGTTGTATCTGACTTTTCATGACTCCTTTTGGGGTTTTCTTGGCAAAGATACTCCAGCAGTTTGCCATTTCCTTCTCCAGCTCATTTTACAGATGAGGAAACTGAGGCAAACAAGGTTAAGTGACTTACCCAGGTTCACACAGCTAATATGTGTCCGATATCAGAACCCAGTCATCTTGACGCTAGGTTTGGTGCTCTACCCACTACACCACCTAGCTGCCCACCACATCACTGTGGTCCCCAAGAACTATAAGTATGAGACCTGAAAGGAGCCTGGGAAAGATGTCATGTAGCCCAATCTCCATAATATTTAAGGGAGAGGAAACTGAGGTCCAGAAAAGGGAAGTTACTTAACCCAAAGTCATAGACACGCCAGAAATAGGATTCTGGCTCCAGATCTAACACTCTATGCATGACTTGCTGTGCTACTTCTTAGTCTTAGACTGAAAAACATTTGGCATTCTTGAGTTGGATGATAATAGGAAACAGGCTGGAAGTTTATTAGTTCATGAAGGAGATAAAGAGGAGGAAAAGCACACAAATGTTGTCATACCCTATACGCTCAGCCTCATGATTCCTCTTCAGTTCCAAGAGACAGTTAAGTGCCTGCTAGTTCACATAAACCATTATCTCCCTTATGCCTGCTATTTCAGGGTGCAGTTCTTTTACCCTAATGTACTCGGAAAAATAACTGACACACTAGATGGCAAGATCCTAAAAGAGACTGATGGGCAAGAACATCAGGCTGAATTTAACAAGGATGAATGTAAAGTCCTACATTTGGATCCAAAATATCTACTTCACAAGTAGAAGATAAGAGAGGAATGTTTAGATAACAAAAACGAACTAGGAGCTTTAGTGGGCTACAAGGTCAATATAAGTCAATAGTGTAATATGGCAACGAAAAGAGTTAATGCAATCTTGACCTGAATTAAGAGGTGCATTGCTTATAGTGTACTCTGGAAGAACACATCTCAGAGAATAATAGAACTTTTGAGTTCAAAATATTTTCTAGTCCAACCTATTCTTGAAAAAAAAATTCTCATTAAAACACCCTCCTCTGGACACTCACCAGTATTTCAAGCTCTTTCCCAAACTATGGCATACAGTACCGATCCTGATACTCCAGATTTGGTATGAGCAGGGCAAAGTATAGCAGAACTCCCACCTCCTTATCCTAGGAATATTCTTATCCCTCAGGTCAAGATCACATTTGCTCTTTTGGATAGCATATCATACTGTTGGCTTATATAGTCATCAAAAACAAGAACAGAAACAAATAAAAAAACTTCAGTTTATTAATCTGGCACCATAGAGGGAATAAATCTGTCCAACTTAGCAAGGCTGGTCCCCAAACGACAGTCACAAACTATGCTGCTAAACACAGACTCCTAGGTCTTTCCACCTTGACCTAATATAGCTTGTCTTTCATTTGGGATAGCCTTCAAAAACTCCATGGCAGGGTCAACTCCATGCCATAATGAGACATTAGAGAAGGACTTTAGTTCAGGCTTGATGAGAGCATAGTTTAGGCAGAAGTTCCCAAAGTGGGCAATACCGCCTCCTCGGGAGTTGCTGGAATGATCCAGGGGAGAGGTAGTAGCCTTGGGTGTAATTGTGGGGCATCATATAAAAGAAAGGGGGTGGTGGAAGCATAAGGAAAGAAGAGAAGAAAATTCTAAAAAACCATTTGTATATGTTTCATCTGTTGTGTAACAGAGTTAAAGTTGTAGTGATTACATTATTTTCCAAATAAGCACACAAAATGCAAGTTATAACTAATCAGTGGTCAAGTCCACAGACAGGTCTTAACAAGCAAGTGTTGGCAGGTGGGTGGGTCACACATTGTCAGGAAGTCCAGCATGCATCAGCAGGAATATGTGCGTGTAATGACTTGTTTACAGTATGACATTATACAGTTAAATGAGGCAATATTGCATCATCAAAATTTCAATGCAGGAAAAATCCACAAATTTACAGTAAATTATTAAATTTAAGATGTGTCATTTTTTAAAAAAATTTCTATTTTTTGAAATGATGCAAATTAAAAAAAAAAGTTAAAGGATTAAAGAAAGTAGATTTCCAGGGGGCATTGAGTAATTTTTTTTCCATAAAGGGGGCAGTAGGCCAAATAAGTTTGGGAACTTCTGGTCTAGAGGAAAAAGCACTGTCTGTGGATCACTCTTGGCTCTGCCACTTAATTGCTGTATATTCTTGGGCAAACCCCTTTAAGTTCTCAACCCCAAATTCTTCATCTGTAAAATGGGAACAATAATATTATACTAATTACAGCACGAGGTTTTATTGAAAAAATAATTTGTATATCTTAATGAGCTACATAAGTTGTTATTACCATCTATAAAATGAGACTAATAATATTTTATTTCCGTGAAGGTAAGGGATTAGATGAGATAGTCTTCTGAGGTCCTTTCCTCCTTGATTTTGTGAAATGACTGAAGATTACCCCTTTAAGGATTATCCACACAGTGACTTCACTTTATGAATATAGATAATTGAGCTCTTTTACCCTAAAACTGCTTTATTTTTTATTTATTTTCTATGCATCTCATTTATTTATTTATTGCTTGTTTGTTTTCCATGTTTCTTATTCTTCCTTATCTTCAAACATTCTGTTTGGCAGCAAGAGAAGGAACTCCTGTCTCACTTGTGGTTTCGCATCCCTAATGCTTAACATTTGAGGAGGGGGTGTCTAGAACTATAATTTCATTCGTGATTACAATTCCTACTGAGGAAACTCCTTCTACCAATGCAAATTAGCAACCTTCCTGCGATTTATAGTCTTAGAGAATGGTGTGAGGTGCTAAAAGTTTAAGGGATTTTCCCAAGGTCACTTAGCCAGTGTGCATCGGAGGTGACAATTGAACCCAGGTCTTCTCGAGTATGAGGCTGAGGCTAAGACCAACTCTCTATCCACTCTCCCACATTGTCTCTCATCTGGTACATAGAAGGAACTTCATAAATGCTTGTTAATTGATTGAGTTGACCTCTATAGATGGGATCAAGCACCATCTGAGGTGGAAACAGCCACACAATCAAATCACAGTTTTCAAATTGGAAGGTACCTTAGAAGTCGTCTAGTTGTACAAGTGCATCATTTTACAGATGATAAAATTGAGGCCTAGATAGGAGAAATGACTTATCCAAGATGACACAAGCAGTAAATAGGAAAGCTGGCATTCAAACTCAACTCTCTGAGCTTCTTTCTCTATACCATGCTCTGTCTTTTATTAGCCTCTTTGAGGGGAACCATTGAGTTGTCCTTCTGTTTAGCTACAACTTGGATGTTTCCTGAATTTTTTTATAGCAAGAATGTCAATATAGCTACAGCTCAGTTCCTGTAGTTATTATCAACTTGTTAGTCACTGAACAAAGATCACACATCAACCGTACTAACAATTAAGTTAATGTTGGTACAGTCTAAAAATGGTATGGTAGCCACTTGTGTTCCCATTCCCACCGTTCTACCACAGTCATTATAGAAGTGGATAGAGAGTCATTTTGGCTTCATGGTCACCAAGGCCAAAAAATTAATTGCTGTTCAGTTGTATCCAACTGTTTTTCACCCCGTGGACAATATCATGCTAGTACTATCCATGGGGTTTTCTTGGCAAGGATACTGGAATGGTTCACCAGTTCCTTCTCCAGAGGCAAGCAGAGGTTAAGTGACTTGCCCAGGGTCACATAGCCAGTAAGTTCCTGAGGCCAGATTTGAACTCAGGTCTTCCTGACTCCAGGGCCAACACTCTATCCACTGAGCCATCTAGCTACCTTATAAAAATTAATTACCTAGTTGTGAGATTCTGATGATGAACTAGGCTGAACTTCAGAGAGCTGGCAGTCTGTCACCTCAAAGAGGTCTGACCGTGGATGTCTCATAGGGCTCTGTCCTGCACCCGCTTCTCTTCTCCCACTATACTACTTCACTTGATGATCTCATAGGCTTCTAATTACTGTCTCTAATGATGATTCTCAAATCTAACTTTCCTGCCCCAAAGTCTTTACTGACCTCTAATCTCATATCTCTAACTGCCTTCCAGACAGCAGGATGTACAGTAGACATCTTAAACTCAATATGTCCAAAACCAAAATCATTATCTTTCCCCCTTTGGGTAGGTAGATGCCATAGTGGATAGACTGCCAGGGCTAGAGTCAAGAAGACTTGCCTTCAAATCCAGCCTCAAATACTAACGAGCTGTTTGACCCTGGGCAAATCACTTAACCCTGTTTGCCTCGGTTTCTTCAATTGTAAAATGAGCTGAAGAAGGAAATAGCGAACCATTCCAGTATTTTTTCCAAGAAAAACCCAAATGGAGTCATGAAGAGTTGGACATGACTGAACAATCACAGCAAAACACTCCCCTACCTTTCCTGTTACGGTAGAAGGGAACACTATCCCCCCAGGGCCTCAGGCTCACAACCTAGGAGTCACCCGAGATTCCTTACTATCTCTCACCCCAATGCTCCAATCCAATCTGCTGCCAACGCCTGTAGATTTTACCTTTGCAACTCCTCTTGACCATCCCCGCCCCCCTTCTTTTCTCGGATGCTGCTACCTCTCTAAGGCAGGCGCTCATCATCTCATGGCTAATTATTACAATAGCTGCTAGAGGGTCTGCCTGCTTCAAGTCTCTCCCCACTCTAATCCGTCCTGCATTCAGCCACTGAAGTAATTTTCCTAAAACACAAGTCTGATCTCCCTCCTTTCCCCTCCCTGCCCTCACCCCATAAACTCCAGTGGCTTCCTGTTGCCTCCAGGATCAAATATAAAATCCCCTGTTTGATGTTCAAAGCCCTTCATAACCCAGACCCCTCCTACCTCTCCAGTTTTCTTACGCTCGATTCCCTGACACACAGTCTTCGATCCTGCGACGCTGGTCTCCTGGCTGTTTCACAAACAAGATGCTCCATCCCTCAGCTCCAGGCTTTTCTCCGGCTGTCCCCCAGGCCTAGAATGCTCTCCCTCTTCATCTCTGCCTCCTGGCTTCCCTGGCTTCCTTTAAATCTCAATTAAAAGCTCATCTTCTATAGGAAGTCTTTCCCAACCCTTCTTAATTCTAATGCCTTCTCTCTTTTAATTATTTTCTATTTATCCTGTACATAGCTTGTTTACACATATTTCTCTGCTTATTGTCTCCCTCATTAGACTGTGAACTCCTTCAGGGTAGGGACTGGTTTGTTTCTTTGTTGTTGTTTGTTTTTCTCTTTTTATATTTATGTAGTAAATATTTAATAAATGTTTAATGACTGACTCGTTTGTCCTTTGTTTTCAAAAAGGACCAATGACATCACAGGCTGATGTCTTGATTCCAGCATGAACTGGATTTGAGTGAGGCAAAATGGCACGAGGTCATCAGCCCCATTCTCTCTTCCAAAGTCATTGAAGTCCAAGGACAGGACAAAAATCAGGACAACTAGCAATGTCCTGCAATGCAGTGGATGACCTTGGCAACTTTGATGTCTGACCAAGCTCTAAGCGCTCCTTCATGGCCATTGGAACAAATCGTTCTCACCTGTCATTCTGCTAAGGAAGTCTTCACGTGTTCAGGGTAGACACCCCCCTAAGTCACTGAAGAGTTTGAGGCCTGTCAGTTACCCTCAACTTGATTTAGCCTGTCTGCTGAGACGGTTTACCAGGATGTGGCCTCTGAGTATGTGTGCTACAGCTCCTTAGAGCCACAGATGAGAGTGGAGTGCCAGGCAGACACCAAGGTGGATGAGCAGCCCTGAAAAAGGCTCGGCACCCCTCACACCAGAGCTGCTGGTCCTCCTTGAACACCCTCTATACCCCAACTGACTAACAGGGTCTACAATCTGCTGCTGGCATAGCCTTTAAGAATTCAGGGTCAGCACCACAACAATAACAATAACACTTATCATCTAGAAAGTGCTTTAGGACTATCATGAGCTTTACATATAACACTTCACTGGATCCTCACAAAAACTGTAGAGCAAGTAGTACAAATACTATTATTTTCAGTTTGCACATGAGGAAATGGAGGCTCAGAAAGGTTCAGTGACTTGCCCAGGATCATACAGTTAAAAAGTGTCATTTGAACCCAGAAGGTTGCCCAAAATGACGCTTCCATTAGAGCCAAAGAGGATGGGCTGATTGTGAGCTTATGGGAAGCATGCTGGAATGAAATAATGTCCTTTCTCAGTTGTCTCAGACCTAATCATATCTTAGTTCTCTTTAGGAGCTAAAGACAGTAGTAGAGATAATTGAAAGGGGAAGAAAAAGTTTGGATCATCTGAAATATTGAATTTATGTCCAAATCTTATGACCAGATTAATGCTAGAAGGAACCTTAGAGGTCATCTTGTCCAAACCCTTTCATTTTTTAGATTAGGAAGCTGAGGTCCAGACAGGGGAAAGGCCTTTCACAAGGTCACACAGCTGCCAATGCCTAGAATTCAAGCTCCCCATTCCTAATTACAGACAAGATTTAAAAGAATTCGTAGGAGGAAGGCAGGGCCTACACTCCTTTTTTCCCTCCTCTTTGGCCAGCTTTGCCCTAGAAATGTTCACTTTTCACAAAAGGTGCTCAAAATGTATTTTAAATAGTGCTGATTGAAGAAAGCCTGGGGGATCATGGAATTTTAAAAGAGTTAGCTCTATGATGTATTCTTGACATGGTGCTGCTCCATTGGGAAGGTAGCATGTCATTTAGGAAAAAAGCATCAGGCAAATATTGTTAATTTGCTAAGACATGTTGGAAAAGTGATTTAATCTTTCTGTGATTCAGTTTCCTCATCCATAAAATAAGAGGAATGTACTAGGTGCTCTCTAAGGTTCTTTCCAATGCAGATACTATATAATCCAACTTCCTTGTTTAGTCAGACTAAGCTATTGACTGACTATGTGACCTAGAGCAAGTCATTTACCTTCTCTGGGCCTTAAACTCTTAATGTGTAAAATGAAGTGACTGGACCAAGCGAATTCTAAAATCCTTTCTGGCACTTACGTTCTCTTCTTTCATCTGATCTTCTCCCAATATCAGATGCCCCCGATGGTGGCTTCCCTGACCTGGCATTCCACCACAGCCTCCACTCAGCAGCCTGTCAATATTACTCAGCAACCAATATTGTCAAGTGTTTTAAGGATTGCTGTATTGAGAGACTAGGCCCGTTGTACTTGACTGTGAGCAGTGATGGAAACAGCAGAGGCAGAGTGTGATCCAATGTAAAAATCTAAGTAAGCTATACCCAATGAAACAAGGTCTCAGGAGGCCTATGATTTTACAGGGAACCTCTCTCAGCCACCAGAGGTTTATCAGCAAGGCTTTTCCATCCAGGCTTGTTCCTCATAACTGGAGGATTTTAGGCAGAAGTGGGATGACTTCTTATTAGGGATGTTATAAACCAGATTCATGCTTTGGGTAAAAATTAAACTAGAAACTTCCTGAGCTCCCAACAAGCCCTGGCATTCTAGGATTCCAGGGGTAACAAGGTGGTACAGCAGTTAGAGTGCTGAATCTGGAGTTAGGAAGAACTGAATTCGAATCCCCCCTCAGATACTAGCTGTATGACCCCAGACAAGTCATTTAACCTCTATCTGCTCAACTTTCTTTATCTGTAAAATAGGGATGATAATAATAGCACTTACCTCCCAGAGCTGAGGATCAAATGAGATAATATTTATAAAGCATTTTGCAAAACTTAAAGAATTACGTAAATGCTAGCCATAGCTATTCATCTATATCTGAAAATACAGAGAAAAGCTATGATGTAGGCCAGGAAAGTTTGGGAGGAGGAGGGATAAGCCTGGGAATCATGAACATGCCAAGGAGGAAGGCTCAGGGAAGGGAGGTTAGGGTCGGGGGAAGGCAGCAAGGAGGTTAGTCAAATCAAGCCAAGCTGTCTTTATCCTACCTCCAGATAATCCTTGATGTGACGCTGGATAGACTCCAGCACCAAAGTCTTCTCAATATGCGTCAATGATTGAATTTTAGACACAAGTAACTGCTCCCAGGAGGGCTGGGCACTGAACAGATTTTCAAAGGATGAATTGCTATCCAATCCTGAAGCAGAAAGACAATTATAATAACAATGACAACAGTTCATAGAAGTGAAGGTGAAAAGGGGCCTTTGTGGAATGCTTATTTCAATCCCTTCATTTTACAGAATAAAAAAAAATTAAAGCCAAGGGTATAACTCACCCAAAGGCACACAAATGACAAGTGTTGGATCCAGTATTCAAACCCTGTTCTTCTAACTCAAAATCTATTACATTTTCCCCACTACACCATTACTATCAATTCAACAATATTTATGAAGTATATCCCATGTTCAAGGGCTTCCACAAAATCCTTCTCTGATGCCTCATCATGTTATGATGACAATGACCGTAGGCACCAGAAAGCTATTTCACTAAAGTACAAGCTCTAGCTTGCATTCTACCATGCTGGTTCTACCATGCTGGAAAAGCTTTGGATATAGCCCCAGTAATAAACCAAGTCATTCTCTAAGGACCAGCCTTGCTAATTACAGAAATGGCATATAACTAGTAGGTAGGTCACCTAATGATGAAACTTTTTGATCATGCCAACTCATAAAACAATTTAAAATGTCTATTAAAAATGGTCCACAGTTGTGTGCAATTGCTTTACATTCTGTAGTGATGGTGTCAGAGCGAAAGAAAAAGCAACAGAAAGTGGTAAGAATCACACTGGTTTCAGCCTGTCAAAAAACTTCACTTGGACTGTTGGTACCCTAAAGATAAGATCCTTGTCCAATGACAAATGGGTGGATATATCAATGGAGGGGTTGGATACTATCAGTCTTGACACTCTTACTGTAAATAAAACCAGAAGGAAAAAAGAAGCGGAAGCTGAATGGAAGGATGGTTCACAGTTGTTCCTTGGGGAGGCAAATAAAGGAGTTGGTGGGATGGGTTATCGTGTACTCAGAAACTACAAGAAATGTTATTTCCTGGGACACTTGATAATGACATATTGCACTCCTCATAATACACATTTGCAAAAACACCATCATGAAAATAATTGCAGTTTATGCCCCAGCATCTGTTCCTTAAGATGAAAGGGTAGAGAAATTCTACAAAGAACTTACGACGCTCCAAATCAAGTCAACATCATTGATACTTCATAACTTCAATGCAAAGGTGGAAAAAAGTGAGGATGAGAAGAAATATATAGGAAAGTTGTTGTTGTTGTTGTTATTGTTGATTTTCAAAGAAGACCCATGACTTCATGGGGTGATGTCTTGACTTGCATGTGAATTATATTTAAGTGAGGCACAAAGTCAGCCTCACTTTTTCTTAGAGAGTCATCAAAGTCCAGTGGCAGAACACAAGAAAGATAGTGAGCGATAGCTCCAGATGCAGTGGATGACCTTGGCATCTCCGATGCCTGACCAAGCTCTAAGCACTCCACTGCACCTGCTTCAGCAGCCTTCATGGCCGTTGGAACAAATTGTTCTTATCCACCCATTCTGCTGGGGGAAATCCTCATATCTTGATGTAGACATTCCCCTAACTCATCTATGGGTTTGAAACCCATCAGTTACCTCAACCTGGTTTAGTTCATCTGCTGAGATGGTTTTACTGTGGTGTGGCTGTTGTGCCTATTACAGCTTCTTAGAGTCACAGGTCAGAGTTGTGTGAAAGGTAGACACTAAAGATGGGTGAACAGCCCTGAAGAGGGGCTCAGCAAATCCTCACAGTGGAGGGAAAGATGCCAAAGGGATGCAAAAAATCTTGAACCTTATTAATGCTAAAAAAAGGTGACTGAAAGTGCATCAGTATTTACAGACCTATATACCTTCATATATATACATATATAATATATATACATATATTATATATATATACACATACATACATGGGAAAGAAATGAGCAGGCCTTCACAAGGAAAATTCAACAATGTACTACTTTATTTCTATCTCGCAATTAACTTGAAGCAGTTAGTTGGTGCAGTAAATAGAGTATAGGTCCTGGAGTCAGGAAGACCTGAGGTTATATCCAGCCTTAGCCAGTTAACTAGTTGTGTGACCTTGAACAAGTCATTTAAACTCTGCTTGGTTCACCTTTCTCATCTGTAGAATGGAGATAGTAATAGTACCTATTTCCCAAGCTTGTTGTGAGGATCAAATGAGATATTATTTCTAAAGTGCTTTGTAAACCTTAAAGAGCTATATAAATGCTAGCTAATATTATTATTAAATCAAAGAGTCATTTCAGTATTGATTTGTGCAAGACATTTGACTATGCTGGAGGTAGAAAGATGCAAAACAACTTGGTCATTGCCCTTAAGGATTTTACAATTCATTCATTTGAAAAACATTGAGTAAAAGCCCATAGCATGCAAAGAACTGTCCTTAACACTAAGGGAATATATAGTTTAGGTGAGACATAGGCCTTAGAGTCTTTGAGAAGGCAAAAGAAGTATGATGTAAGTTAAGATATGATAAAGGTAAAGGAACAATCCAAGCAAAGTGCTTAGGAATTTGAAGAGGGAGAGACCACTTGCAGCTGAAGTAATGCAGTGAGAAGATCAGTGGATTTAATATCAGGTAAGAGCTCAACTCCTAGCTCTAACATATATTACCTGTGACCCTAGAAAAGTCCCCTAGCATTGATGGAATAGTAAGGAAACTGGACAAAGTGATCTCTGAAGTCCATTCCAATTCTCCGTACTATGTCCTGAGATCCTAGACTTCATGGAGAAAGGGAAAATGATGATGATGGCAACAACAAAGATGGTGATGATGATCTCTTGAATGTGTGTAATACTATATACTTGTATGTATTTCTTTGGATCTGGGGATTTTAACAATCTATCAGTACAGACTATAACACAGAGATGCCTTTTCATCCCATGTAATTTTTATGCATCCCTTCCCATGAATCCTCCATAGACAATCTGACCTAACACACTGGAAGTTTCCCTCCAGATCCTTTAATATTTCTAGGTAACAGAGCAACATTTGGGGGTATGAAGGTGGACAAAAAGGACTGTGGCAAAAGGAAAGGAATGCAGACAGAAAACATTTGACTCCATCATTTTGTCATAGACTAGTTTTGGTGACAGTCAAAGTGCTTAGTTGACTATGAGAAGACAATGTGACACCCTCTCCCCAAAAAGCTCCCCCTTGCCTCCCATGGTACCATGGGAGGGTATCTCTTCTCTGATTTGCAACTTCATTCATGTGAAATGACTCTAGAAGCCTGCTGGGAAGAGCAGTAATAGTACTTATTTCATTTCCCTAGGATTCTATTATTTCATTGATATTGGTATCCTCTCTAATACAAACACTAAGTCTGTAATATGTAGATGGTCTTTGAGAGTCATCACAAGCAAAAGCTTCATTCCCATGAGACCAAACTAGCGACGAGCTTTCTGAACTTAGGCTGTTCCTGCACACAATCTGTCACTAGCTTATAGAATCACTTGCATTTCTATAACACTTTGTGGTTCACAAGAATGTTATGAGTTAATTCATAACTCTATGAGAAAACTGAAATCCAGAGAAGTAAAGGTACTTTTCCAAGGTCATGCAGCTAGAAAGTGGCATGGGAAGGATGAGAATCCAAGTCTTCTGGTCATTAGTCTAGGGCAGGTTTCTAAGAAGGGAAATTTAAGTGCCTGGTGGCCAGTTGGTCAATGCTTCAAATTATCCCTTGATAACTCTTAGACAAGAGTCAAATGATCATGGAAAATGACCAGGAAATACCATTAACCTAATGTGATCTCGACTTGAGGCAACCTACCAATTCCTAAGAGTTACCCTAATCTGCCTAGGTATTGAAGGTACCTTTTAGAATAAAAATCTCCCTGGGAGAGAATTTCACAAGAAAGCGTCATCAGCCAAGAAATTGCAAGCATGACATCTTCAACAATATAACCCTTCAAATATTTGAAGAGGTCAGCACACACCCACACACAGACACAAACACACTTCTTACCAATGTCCCCAATTTCTTTCTCCTGTGGTTTCTCCTGCTGCAGGTCCAAGGTGGGAGAGAGACGATTGGACCTCCAGAGATAGGACTTCCAGAGGTGGAACCTCCGTCGGTAATGAGATGGTTGTGGAACTTCACTTTCCGTCGCCAACATTGTTGGAAGTTTTCCTGTTGGTCGGCAGACAGAGGGTTGAGGAGTGGCTAGTGCAATATTACATGAGGGACAGCAGATCCAGAAATTATGCTTCTATCTGAATGAAAAGATCATCTACCATTGGCCATTTCCTTCTCCAGTCTATCTTACAGATAAGGAAACTGAAGCAAATAGGGTTAAGTGACTTGCCCAGGGTCACACAGCTAGTATGAGTCTGAGGCTGGATTTGAACTCAGGAAGGTGAGCCTTCCTGACTCCAGGCCCAGCACTCTCTCCACTGCGCCATCTAGCTGCCCCAAGAGGAAGTGCATTGGGGGAGGAGAGGGCAAAAAGAGTGACCTCATTCCTTTCCAGGCTGCACTTCAAACTTCCTCTGCCATGCCCCACTTCTTCATTCTGAAGCCTCACTCCAGCCCTAGGCTTCATACATGGGAAATACCCTCTGCCCCTATGATTGGATGGCTCTTCCTAGAGCCTCCAACTCAGGAGGGCGCCCAGGCCAGCCAGGTCTCATTCCTCTCCACACTGCACTCCACTCAAGCTTTCTCCACCCCTCCCTTACTCCCTGCCCAACTCATGCCCCCTTCTCACTTTTTCTGTGTTGCTCTCCCTTTAAAATATAAACTCCCAGAGGGCAGCAACTATCTTTCTTTCTATTTATACTTGTATTCCCATCTCTTAGCATGGCGCCTGGCACATAGTTACAGAGTACGGCAGCTCTGTATCATTAGGAAAATTTTTGATAAATCAGGTCTAAATTTGCTTCTTTGCAATTTCCCACAGTTGTGCTCTCTGAATCCTGAAGATCAAATCAAATCTCTGTCTTCCACATGATAGCCCTTTGAACACTTGAAAAAAACTATGATACTCGCCCCAAGTCTCCTCCTGTCTTCCAGGCTAAATAAATATTCCTAATTCCTTTAAATATCCATCCTGTGGCATGGTTTCAAGACCATTCACCATCCTGATTATGATCTGGCTGCTCTCTAGTGTATCATTAGCCTTCCTAAATAGAGCCCAGATATGATCTGATGTAGTTTGTCTGGGTCGTGGTGACAAACCCATATAAACATGTAGGGTTCTTGCTTCCTGATCTTGGATTTAAACTCTTGTTCTCCTTGTTCTGACTTTCCCAGCCCAAGGATCATTTTCCTTGGCAGAGAAAATAGAAGTAAAATAAGAGCTAGGTAGGTGTACCTTCTCACCATTGTGTTATCTTCATCCTGACTTCAAGCTCTATCCCTTCTTGGATACTTTTCTTTTTCCTAGCATAGCAAAAACAAAAGACCCAACCAAACAACCAAAATCCCACCGCTCTTTTTTGTTGTCTTGAACATTATTTGCCAGCCTCAGTACACTGAACTTTAGCACCCCTGATGCCATCCTTAGCTGACAGTACCATTCAAATGTTAATACTCTGCACAGGTCTTTTTAAAACACAACTTGGTCCCTGAGTTCCCTCTGCATCCACATCAGTCTTTGTCAATCAGCTCCTACTTCTCCTCATCAGAACTGCATTGGTTAAATCTTTAGAATTCTTCTCTTGAGAATTTCCCATTATTATTATTTCTCTCATAGAAGTTTAATAAAAGAGTTCCTATCTTTTCTCTAAATCAGGATTTCTTAACCTTTGTTTTTGTCACGGACTCCTTTGGAAGTGTGATAAAGCCTATAGATTCCTTCTTAGGATACTGGCATTTTAAAAGCATAAAATCAAATACATAGGATTGCAAAAAATGTATGTAAAAATCTTTTTTTTTTCCTCACAGACCCCCTGAAATATATAGTTCCATGGATCCTAGGTTAAGAATCCCTGCTATAAATCTTCCCAGATCTTTCTTTTTTCTTAATTCTTTACCCTAGGTTAAACATAAGAAGTCTAAACTGTTTTCCATGTGTCAGTCATACAAACATTGAAAAGAATTGTCATGCTTCTCCAGGCTAAACATCCCTAATTCCTTCAGTAGATCTTTGGATACCAAGCATCAATTCGCATTGTACATATTAGATATTTAGATATTGGATTGAATTAAATTGTCTTCAGTCCCCTCCCTCATCATTCTAGTAACTATATTCACTGGCTACTCTCCCATTTATCTTTGTCCTTCCTAAAATGTGGTTCCTAGAATTGAACACAATAGTGAAGGATTATGGGTGTGGAGTGTTATACCTGGAGTCAGACACTGTTGCTTTGTTTGGTTGATTTTGCATAACTAATTTTGTTTGTAACAAGGAAACATTAAGTTCAGGGAGTTAGAAAATGACTGTGATTTTTAAACAGTAAAAGTGTTCAATAAAATAGAGTATTGAGAGGAATAAGAAATGAATATAATGATCTAGATAAAGTCTGACTTGTACAGGGAACAGCTAGATTTTCATTCCTTCATTTTAGGTACTATTCACCTATTAAAATAGCCAAAGATTGTAGCACTATTACCGCAGATCCTTCTCACCCGCACTGTTGTCTTGCCTCACATGTGCCGCCTAGACTTGTATTTTGACTTTTTTAACCCAAGCAGAGGACTTTGTATTTATCCCTGTGAAATTTAATCCTACTAGATCCAGCTCATCTTTCTAACCAATCCGACTTCTTTGGGATCCTGACTTTTATCCAAGGTGCTAATAAGCCTTGCTATCTATGCCTTCATCCAAGTCTCTGATAAAAATGTTTGAACAGCAGTCAATCAGTCAATAATTATTTATTTGCCTTTTTTTTTTTGTGAGGCAGTCGGAGTTAAGTGACTTGCCCACTGTCACACAGCTAGTACATGTCAAGTGTCTGAGGCTTGATTTAAACTCAGGTCCTCCTGACTCCAAAGCCAGATCTCTATCCACTGCACCACCCAGCTGCCCCCTCAATAATTATTTATTAAGTGCCTATTATAAGCTATACACTGTGTTAGACATATGGGATACAATTAAGGATTTATGATTTAGGTTTGTAAATATTTATCATTCAGCCCAACATAATCATAATAGTTCACACTTATATAAGGTTTTCAGGTTTATACAGGACTTTTCCCAAAACAACCTTACCCTTATATTATTATCTCCATTTTACAGATGGGAAAAGCTGAAGTTCAGAGAGGTGAGACAATTGTCTATGGCCATATAGTAACAGAGCTGGGTTGAAAGTCAGGACTTCTGACTCCAAGTCCAGTGGGTTTTTTTGTTTGTTTTGTTTTTGTTTTGTTTTGTTTAAATATCATACTGCCTCTACTCTCTCTTTACATGTCCACTAACCCTGCTCTTCCCAGTTTCTCCCAGACCTCAACTCTCATTAGGACACACACTTTTTGTTTGTTCGTTCAGAAAAAACAAAGGATTAACAAGGGCAAGGAACATATTAGGACTTCATAGAAACTCTCCCAGTATTCAGTAAAAGAACACTGAAAATTAAAGAGTTTGGGAGAAAGGGAATGGCTGTCAGAAGCATTTTGTTTCCAGATTAAATACCTGTGGATTTGTCCGTTTCAAAGGATCCCTAAAATTTATTCCTCTCAGACAGGGTACCATCTTAGACTGTTCTCCAAATATTTCACACAAACTACACTGTTTGTTGCTTTAGGGTAGGAACCATATTTTCTCTTTCCCATTTCAGCTGGATACATGGGTAGGCACTAAATAAATAAACTCATTCCCTATGCCTAGAATGTCCTTCCCACCTCATCCCTGCCTGCTGAAATCCAAGTCAGCCCAGTATAGCAAAATGAATACTGAATTTGGAGTCCGGCAAGACCTGGGTTTGAATCTTGGCTGTCACTTACTAGCTATATAACTCTCAACACTTAACCCCTCTGAACTGGTTTCCTGGTTCATAAAATGGAGAAAGTAAAACTTGAGCTAGTTACTTGAAAGCACCTTAGAATGCTAGGTAAATGTGAATTGTTACTATTATTATTTTTATTATTATTTCAAGATTCAGCGTAAGAATCACCTACCCCCTCAAGTTTTCCCTGATTCCCTCAGTCAAAAGAAATATCCTTATCTTGGGAGTTCCCATGATCCTTTGCACCTCTCTTGTACACCGTCCCTTTGTATTACAGCTATGAGAGTCCATGTTTCATGCATTAAAGCAATAAAAGGAAAAAGAGTTTGCCTTTCTCATGTTTATATCCCTAGTGCCTGGCACAGGGCCTTATACATAGCGGAAACTCAATAGATGAGGCCTCAGTGGAATTGAATGTAACTGAAGTGACAGGAATTTTTTTTTTTAAAAAAAAGGAAAAATAAAGAGTTTTACTGGCGACCCTGGGACTTGGGGACACCAGGCTTTCAATTATTCAGGCTCTCTCGCACCCACTTAACAAAGTTACCTCTCTATCCAGGGGCAATATCCCACCAGTTTATAAAACTGCTTTTGATTTTAAAAAGGAACAATGTAAAGGCCTGAAGAAAAATAAATACCTCAAACCAATAGCCTAAAGAAGGCAGACCAAAAGCCTTGAGGCAGGCAGGGAGGAATCATTTTCCCTACTTTGCTTCTAAATTCCTGAAGAGCTGCTGACAAACACTTAAAGAGAATTTAAGTTGGGATTAGGGCCCTAGATAGGGGTCAGGGCCTAAATAAGGCCCCATTTTACCTCAGGCTCTGGTGAGAAAAAACAGGCCTGTTTGGGGCCCTGCCTTCCCTCCGCATAGAAGGTGACATTCCCTTCAAAAATCCCCCATATACTCACAAAACAAACAAAAACAACAGTATTTTCCCCTCCCCCACACAGCACACACATTTTCTCCCCCAGTGAGCTCACATAGGCCTTTTTGTTTTCTGTGGTTTGAATGCCATGAGAAACTCTGAAAAAAATATGGAATTTAGGAAGAGAGGAGAGTTTAGAACCTGAGGAGAATTTAACTACCTGAGAATTTAGACCCTGAGAAGAATTTATTCTGAGGAGAATTTAGACTCTGAGGAAAATTTACCTTCTAAGGAGAATTTAGACAGAGGAGAATTGACCATCCGAGGAGAATTTAGACTCTGGGGAGAAATTTAGATTCTGAGGAGAATTTAGACTCTG